TGATGATGGTACATTTACAGTAAAGAAAGAGATATCTATATGAAAAAAAAAAAAAATACCCCCACCCAAGCGGGAAGATGGCCGTTTGACCCCACCGCTTGGAGAAAAGACTTTCTGTACATTAGCTCGGAGAAGCCAAATCAACTATAATTTCATACACTAACAACCATTAATGGCTAGTCAATTAAACTGTTGTTAAAAGAAAACAAAAAAAAAAATTTAAAAAAAAATTAAAAAATTTAAGGAGAAGAAAAGAAAAAAAGAAGATTGAGAGCCGCGTTTTTGGTGTTTAAAGTAGTAACGTTTTATATATATATATATATATATATAAATACCAAGACTCTGGAAAGAAAGTTAGAACGAAATTAGAATTTGTAATTTTAAAGACTTTTCTTGTATATGCAACTTATATATATATAGATAAAGAATGAAAAAAAAAAAAAAAAAATTTTAAATAAAGAAAAAAAAACGGCGATTTGGAAGGATTTTGAATTTAAAGAAAATCCCCTTTCAGTTTAGTAATAAGTAATCTGGTGTATATATATATATTATAAAGGTATTAGTAAAGAATTAATTAACAATATTCTTTAAAAAACAACAACAACAACAACAACAAGTTTTTTTTTTATTAATTCTTGAACCTAGACTTTGGTATATATTTTCCCATAATGACTATAAAAACTAGAAATAATGAGATATATAATCGGTGATTTAACCTATTTCATAAGGTTTATAAGGGGGGTGTAAATGTTGGTAACGAGAGAGAGAGAGAAAAAAAAAATAGGAGTTTTACAAATATATTCATTTGTTTTTTTTTAAAAAATACTATAATACATTTTGAAAAGTATTTGTAATTATTTTCAATCTCATAAGTATTATTTTTTTATTTTGATATTCATTATTTAGAAAAAAAAAAAAAATAAATTGATTTTTGTAAATCAAAAGAGTAGTTTTTTTTTTTTTTCTTTTATTTTAATTTAATTTTGGTGATTGTAATTATTTAAATTTAAATGATGATGATGATGATGATGATAGTGGTGGTGGTGGTGGCCTCACTCCACGTGCCAGTTTGAACAAGAAGGAGAAAAAAGAAAACGCGAAAGAGAGAAAAGAGAAAAAAAGTGGGCATTTTGAATTTTTTTTTTTTTTTTTAATTTTTAATTTTTAATTTTTGATTTTTGATAATGACTTTTTAAAACAATTTAATTTTTTGTTTTTTTTTTTGATAAAATAACATTCTAAATTATTTTTAAATAAATTAAAATATATATATATATATATATATAAACAAAATAATATATTATTTTTTTTTTCTCTTGTAAAGATGTTTAACTAAGGCTTGTTTTAAAATATTATTATTAATTAAAAATAAAAATAAAAAATATTGTAGTATAAATATTAGGTAGAGTTTAGTTTAGTTCATGAGATTAATACAACATACAACAACACAAAGCCCCAGTGTGATCGAGATTTTGAGATTCTTTATATATCTTATAAATGATATCTTGAAAAAAAAAAAATAGCATTAGATTTTCAACCTTGTTTTTTTTTAATTGAAAATATATAATTGAATTAATTTAATTGTAATTTTTTTTTTTTGTATTTTGTTTTACACTCAAGACAAAAGTTATTCAGTTATGTAAACAAATCAATTCTTAATCAAATCATAATAAGTATAATAAATGACAATTCTTTAATTCTTTAGTTTAAAACCTCTTTTTTGTTTTCTCTTTCTCTTTCTCTCTCTTTCCGCCTTGCTGATGTCCAGATGCTGGAAGCAGTAATCAACCCTTTTTTTTTTTTTTATGTCTTTGCCTACTGAGAAGAGACTCTGGGAAACCTTGTATTTGTTTGTTTCTTGATTCATATATTTACTACGCAATCATTATATATTTCAATATCTTTTTCTTCTTTTTGGAAACTTTTGAATGGATGCAATCAACCGTCTACTTGTTATATATATATATATATATATATAAGCTTACTGATAATTGTCCATTCAGTTGGTCAGCTCCAGTTTCATGGACGTTTAAAGGCGGAGGTAAATAAATACATTGTAGATAGTTAAAAACAATTTTTTTTTTCAGGAGTTAAAAAGGCCTTTAATTTGTAATGATATATTATCAAAATTGATAATGACAATAAAAAATTTTCTTTTGAACTATTTAATTATTAGTGACTTTTTTTATTATTATTATTATTATTATTATTATTATTATTATTATTATTATTATTATTCATTCCAAGTCCTTTATTGTAATATCTCGTATAGATACCAGCTTACATTGACGGTAGTATACCTTTTGTTGTTTCATTATAAATAAACTCCCATTAGGTAGCATTACCAACAATTCAAATATATTCTATATTTAAAAGTAATATATATATATTTATATATGTAGACCACCACTTGATTATCATCTCATCTCATCGCATCGCAACAAAATACATATATATATATATATACAACAAAATGAAAATGGAAGGAGGTGTTGATGTAGTAATGAATGAACAAGCAAAAAGTGTAGTGACTGGAATGATTTCTTTAGATGAGAACAGGCCACAATACTAAAAAAAAAAAAAAAAAAAAAAAAAAGAAACAGTAATAATTATTGATAGCTTACATATGATGAGCAATAAATAACAGAATCCAAGTGGTGAGATTATACATATATATGTATATAAAAAAAAATTTGAAGTTAAATATATATATATATATATAAAATTAAAAAGATTATATCGGTTATTGAAAAAAAATAAATAAATAAAAAGTTTAAAGTCGAGGATTATTACATGAATTACATGAATGATGATGAAGATATGTCCAAAGTTGGGCAAATATGTAAAAAAAAAAAAAAAAAAAAATTATATATATTTAAACTAAACAAATAATAATAAATATTAAACTACTACTACTAAATATTAAAACATACGATACTGGCGTTTTTTATATTTTTATTATATATATATGTACATATATATGTACATATATATGTGCAAACATTTTGGTTCAGAAGGGGTATTTTTTTTTTTTTTTGTTATTTCTTTTTTGCTGGTTGCCCAAAGGAACTGAGAAGAGAAACAATCATGTAATATATATATTAAAATAAAATAAAATAATTTTTATTTCATTACCATCATCACCATCATCACCATCATCACCATCATCATCATCATCATCATGTAGGAGCAAGAATATCAATCACCAAAACCTTTTGCAGACTTTGGATAACTTCTTAAGAAAGGAAATAAAAAAAATTTTCAAATTTTCATCACAGGAATTTAAAAGAGTTTGTCATTTATTATTATTACTACTACTACTACTACTACTATTATTACTATATAATAGAAAAATAAAATATTGATGTGATATATATATATATAATAAATTATCTTGTTAAAATATAAAAGATAAAAACATTTATATTTTTTTTTCTTTCCCAAAACATCGGGCATCTCATCTCAGCTAACCATAAGGTCGTTTTTTTTTTTTTTTTTTTTTTTTTTTTTTCGTAGTGGTGTTAGTTAATAAGTTAATTAATTAGTTAGACAAGACGATTTTAATATATAATCTTATGGTTGCTATTTAACTGCTATATATATCTAAATATATTTTTATTTATAACAACTTTTCCGTCACACTCTTCCTCCTACCTTTCTCTCTCCATTCTTTTAAGCTTTTTTTGCACGTTAAACTAACACAACTTCATCATCAACTGCCTTCTTTCTTTAAAAAAAAAATAAAATAAAAAAAAAACTTTATTAATGTATATATAAATTTAGCGATAAAACAAAACAAAAGCTCAATTCCTAATTTTTTTTTCTGTGTGTTTATCGCCGCCGACGGGGTGACTAGGGTATATATATATAAATTCACATAGGCCTTGCATTAAATTTTTTTTTTTTTTTTTTTTTTTTTTGAGGACTTTGCCAGGGGTGAAATAATATTTATTCATGAGGTTTACAACACCAGCTTAAGTCTTGGGTGCAATGAACTGGTCAGACTTTTAGTGTTTTTTTTTTTTTTTTTTTTTTTCAGAAAAGAACTGACTTTACTACGTCTAAGGTCATTAGAAACGTTTCAAAAAAAAACAAAAAAACAAAAAAGAGAGTGGGGAGCATATATATATATCGAGAAATTGAACACCTGTAGCTGTAAGGGTTATTAGTTGATGTTGTTGCGATTAATAATTTTTGATATTAATATATATAAATTAATATATATATATATATAAAATATATATATATTTTTTTTTTCATACCCATATGCGCCCTAAAATCTGCTTAGTCATATTACCTCGACTATTTTGTAAAAACATTAAAAAATAAAAAAAATAAAAAAAAAATAAAAAAAAAAGCTGCCACACCAGTCTTTTAGCGTTTTCTTCCCGTTTTGGGCTGCATGCGTCTAAAGATACACCGACCAACCAACCGGCTAATATCGAGGTCTTATTTAATAATAAAAAGCTTTTATAGAGTATAGTGAGACATAAGGCTCGCCAAAAATAAAAAAATAAAAAAAAAACTTAGAATACCTCAGGAGAGAGAGAGAGAGAGAGTTAAAAAAAAAAAAGGTTATAATTTATAATTATTATATCCAACATATTCAAAAACCTCGCCAAAAATTTTAGCTAGCCAGCCAGCCAGCCATCCATCCATTTTTTTTTTTACTTCCCCAGCAAATATTTTGTCTTCCGTTTTTTTTATAAAAACTCCCGAGGGTCGCCTTTTTTTAACAGAAAAATAAAATAAAAAAAAAGATTTGTTTTTTAACAATTACTATATTTATATATATATATATAACAATTTCTTCCTTTATACTTTTCAAGTCTATTTTCTAATCACTTTATCTTATCATCATCATCATTATCATTATCATATAACTGATAACTACCTACCTACCTACTTACTTACTTACCTAACTAACTGCCTTTACCCCTCCCTCTCTCTCCATCGCACTTCTTCCTTTCTTCTTTTTTTCTTCCTTCTATCTTTCACAAATGCCAACTTCTGCAGCTCAAAGCAGCCCACAAAAAATCTCACCAGCTCCAGCCGTCCATCCAGGGCCTTCAGCTGTTGCGGCCGCTGCTATGCACACTTCTATCAAAGTCCCCGTCAAGACTTTGAGCCGTATATCAAAGTCAAAGTTAAAGTCAAAGTCACAACAAGCTTTGGTCGGTTCTTCTTCAACTCCTGCAATCTTCAAAACCCGAGTACCGTCAACTTTCTTGTCAGCTAACATCAACAACAACAAACCTTCGATACAAACAAATACAAAAATACAACAGCAACTACAGCAACTACAGCAACTACAACAACTCAATTCTTCTGAACCAGCAATAAGAGAAGAACAAGAACAAACCATGGCTTCACAACCAGTTTCTCTGGTCCCAGTATCAACAATCCAAGCACCACCAACAGTCATTGTTACTGCGGTACCAACTTCTTCTACAATTAACACAGATTTTCCTGCTAATTCTGTTAATCACTCTTCTTCTTCTTCAACAGAATCCTCATCTTCAAAAACTACAAAACAAAAACATTCACACTCTAATTCAATTCCATCATCTGCCGCTAAAAGACGCCCACGGACATCTCCAATCTGGTCCTACTCTAAACAAAACCCTGACGAACCAATAACTGTCAATGCAGACGGCCAGGCCATTTGGACTTGCTCTGTATGCCAGGACAAAACAACTTCCTACCTGCTTTCTGGGGGAACTGCTGCTCCCATTCGTCATCTCAATAGAGTCCATGGCGTTCAGCTTCCTCCAGCAACTGTAAAACGTCGCACAAAGCCCCGCAAAAATTCTGCCTCCAAATCATCATCATCATCATCATCATCATCATCATCATCGTCATCATCTGGTGCTGATTCAGATGAAAACCTCCCCTCTGCGGCTGCTAACTCTCCTATAAAGAACCGCGCGGCTGCCGCAGTTTCAAAATCTGCAGCAGCACCAGCAAAACCTTCCAAAATTCCAACGGCCACTGCTACTGCTACTGCTGCTGCTGCTGCTGCTGCTGCTGCTGCTATTGTCTTGGCCACTTCACGTCAAACCTCTAAGCAGCAGACCCGGATTCCTGAGACACCTAAAGCACCGGTTCCAACTGATTTGTCATTGTCGTCATTGTCGTCATCCCAAGAAAATGTCTACCCCCAGCTGCCCCAAAACCCAACTAACCCCATGGACCCCGCGTTCGTCACTCCGAAATCGGAACCCGACGCCGCTGCGGCTCGTGACAAACTCGCCACTCCGCCCCCACCTGCCCCGGTCAACCCGGCAATTGCAGCTGCAGCAGTTGATCTTTTCTCAGCTTATCTCCGCAGTCCAGGGTTTTCAGAAACAGCCCCAACTCAATCCTCCTCCTCCTCCTCCTCTTTCTATGCATTCCCTCCATCCCCAACAACCCCCCACATTCTGCGCCCAGCAGCAACTGCAGCAACTGCAGCAACTGTAACAGCAACAGCAACAACAGCAACTGCAACCGCAACCGCTGCTGCAACCGCTGCTGAAACCGCTGCCGCAACTGCCACAGCAACTGCCTGTGACATCTACTCTGCATACTCCTTCATGCCCGGCGCTCCGCTCCCAGCTGTAACTGCCACTGGTGCTTCATTTTCTGGCTCATCCTACCCTCTCAATGCCGCTTCCACACTCCCATCACCGCCCCTCAGCACGTCACCATCCGCAACGTCGCTTTTTATGGACCAAGGAGCATCGGTATCCACCGCAATGCCCATGCATGTGCCCATGACCTCGTCAACTCCTGCTAGCATCCCGGTATCGCCAGTGTCGGCAGCCGCCATCGCAGGGTTTGGGTTTGATGGCGCGGCTACTGCTGCGACTTCGGCAGCTGCAACAGGTGAGTACACTTTTGCAGCAGTAACTGAAGCCCCGGCTTGTCACCCTCAACAGCCCATGGCAACCCTCTCTTACAAGGACATTTTGGCTGGCGCGCAGTTCCCCACAACTGGTATCTCCTTTGCATCGCCCATAGCGCACCCCCGAAGCAACCCGGCTCTCTACATGGACCTTGTTGATGTTGACTTGACATCCGTAGGGTCTCCTGACATGACTTCTGCTACGTACTTCCATGGCACTAGTATGGCCTCGGATGCAGTGTTGGCTCCGGCCCCGCCTCACATCGTGGTGGCCAACCCTCCCTTTTTTGCCGACCCTCAGCAGTCTTCGGTACCCGCCGCAGCACCGCTCCATTCAAGGGCTCACCAGGGACCCCTCATTCTTGACGGGTCTGCAGTCACGTCACCACTCCAACCTGCTGCTGCATGCACGGCCCTCGGACCCCCATTTGTTCCGGTCGTTACCTCATCTACCCCATCATCATCATCATCTTCTTCTTCATCATCTTCTTCTAACACCACCAATGATGGCTGGTACTATCCAGGCCTTGATTCGCCTCCTGATGATCCTACTGCATCCTCCTCTTCTTATATGAACTCCGTTACCGCATCGCCTGCTTTGCAAACTCCCGCAGGCTTCTCTGTCTCTCTCTTTCTCAATGACCCCAAAATGTCACTGTACGAATTTGCCCGTTTCTCCCAGTTCGAGTCCCAGCCTGACCAGACTTGTGTTCTTCTCCCAGAGTACACTCCCTCATATCCATAAATTTCTTTAATTTTTTAGACATTTGTTTTTTTTTTACAAAAAATTTTTTTTTTTTTTTTTTTTGGTGATTATGATAATAATATAAATATAAAATAAATATATCTATTACTTACTATATATATATATACTCTTATTAAACATTCACCTTCTCAGACCCCCAGTAATACTCATGTAACTTGACCAAGTCCTCATTATATGCCGCCTTTTCCGCAAGCTCTGCCTCCCGGTTACCCGTCAACTGGAACCGGCGCATATTCTTGGACCGAATCAGCCGCAAAAGTGTCTTAATCTGGTCATATCCAAACGCAACAGCCAGATCCGTCCGCCGCTTTACTTGATCTAGCACCGCGGCCGGCGTCAGTTCTGCGTACTTGAAAAATGCCTTGCTTTGACTAAAGTCCACATCCGCAGGTGAATCCTCAAGACCCTTAAGCATTTGCTGTAAAACTACCAAATGACGGCCCATCTTTGAAATCCCGCCTTCATTAATATAATCAATTCCATCTGCGCACCCAACAACAAGCAGATCCATAAACTTAGAAAGCCCCCCTAAAACCGTCCGCCGGTCCAGCGGCACAAGAGTCTCTTCCATAATTCCATCAAGCTTCGTCAAATCCGTGTCCAGCTGTCCCACAAGCACCTCGCTCGCATCCTGTGTCCCCACTTTAGAACTCTGCCCAACATAAAATGTCCCTCGCTTCACAGTAGCGTCCATATAGTACAGTGCCCGGCACCGCACATCGGCCTTGAGGGTCAGCACGCATGTTTCTGCCAACCGCTCCAACTGGTCCACTGCCTTTTCAAATAGGTCAACCGTAGTCCCAGAAAGCGTCAGTGCAACGCTCTCCATGTTCCCCCCAAAAATCCCGCCTAGCTTCACCTCTTGGCTTGTGGATGACTCGCTGTCATTGTTTTCATTGCTCAGCGAACTCGCAAGACTTAATGCACTGCTGTTTGGTCCGCCGTACAATGACGTCGAGTTGCCAACTGGCAAAACAGAAACATCTTCAACAGGCCGAATTAATTCAATCAGTAGCCACTTCTTGCGCAATGACGCCGAAAACCCTTCAGCACCAGCCATTTCTCCAGATGCAGAAACTGTCACATCTTCCGCGCCCTTATCAATCACACGCATCAGCTGCTTCATTTTAAGTACCAGCCACCGCAGTGACGTCGCCAATGTAGCAATCCCTTGAAATGATGCATAAGATAGCAGGTCGCTACGTAAAACTCCAGTCACATGGCGCAACTTTTGGCTTGCTCTTTTGTTTAAATAAAAGTTAACTTCTTGCTGGTACGGCGACAGCTTTTGTCCATTCACTGTCGAAGTCACCACGTTGGTAGGCGTTGCCATGATAACTACTGTGCTGGCATCGTGGTAATCGGTATTGCTGATTACCTTTCTCAATGTAGGATCTCCAACCCAAGAAGCTCCAAGCTTGCGCTTGACAACCAACTTAGAATCATCATTCGCGCTTCTTGCTTGGAATGTTACTTTAGAGTCAAAACTTGATACACAAGCCTTGCCAAAACGTTCAACTACCCGAAGAACAAGACGCACATAGTGTTCTCGGTACACCGCTGATGTGTTTAACAAGTAACATGTTCGTCTCAAGTAATCGTAAAAACGGACAACATCGTCCAGCACAGGCAGTTTGGAAATTCGAGGCCAGTTGATGCTGGTCTCAGTAAGAATACTGGATGTTCCATCATAAATCGAAGCAATCACCTTGTTATACACCTCTATGAGGGCATACTCGAGCTGCGGCACAAACGAGCTCATCATAAAATTCTCCACAAATGACATTTGCGGCTTTGCAATTTCGCCAGGGAAAATGGCATCAGCCTTTTGGATAAACTGAACAGTCGGTTCCAACATGACACGAATGTTAAATACATTGGGTGAAACAAGTAGCTGATGTGCAACCTTCAAGTCTGCAGGAAGATATGGATTAAGCCCATCTTCATCATCATGTGCAGATTCTCTTGCAGATGCAACAAGACCAGGAACTGACTTTTCATATGCTACTTGTAATTGCTGGTATTCGTCCTTAACGCCATCTTGTAAAATGTCCATTTTCGAAAACTTAAACAGTGAATGGTTTTTCTTGCGATTAATCTTGTCAAACGAATATCGCGTTTTTTCAGATAACACTACTGCGTCCACGAGAGTGTTTTTGACAACTTCACTCTTACTAGTTTGAATGTAACTGTTAAGAAACGTCTTGATGTCGTTTTCAATAGCTTGATAAATTCCACCAAAGTCGTAAGTGCCACTCTTGCCCTGAGCATCAGAAATCTTTAGCGTCACCTCGTAGATCACTCTATGAGCTTGTAAAATCGCAATATACTTGGAATATAACGTCCAAGTAAGATCCTTCAGTGCTGCCATTCTATTATCTCCTGCATGCAGTCCAACTTCATAAAGTGCAAATGGCGACTTGCTCGTCTGGATATTTAAGTTTTTAGGGAACCGCTGGCCAACCTCGACAATTGTCTTGTCAATCATTTTATGCAACTCCGAAGGCATACGTTGAATGATTTCTTCAAACGCATTGGGTAACCGGTTTAAGTTTCCCAGGGTTTCAATAAGAAGTCGGATGTAATAAAACGAATCAGACTCTGCAGTTTCTGAATTAATTTCAACAAAAAAATCGTCCTTCTTTAATTTTTTCAGAAATTCATCAAGCTGGGATGTTTCGCTAGTCGTCTTTTCAGAAAGCTCAAACCGAATCTTGTTTTCCAAAACTTGTTCCACAGTCCCAAAGTCATCCACACCCTGTCGATATGAATGCCATCGCGAGTCTGTATATGGTGATTTTAAGTAAATATGGTTATGCAGTTCCTCTACCAGTACAGAGTACAGATTAACTTCTTGAGATTGTAAATAACTCTTCATTGCCTGTAGAGCTGGAATCTGAGCAATGTCTTCTTGATTCGCTTTAACAGTTGCAATTGAAAGTGTCTTGAATGCTGACAAAAAAAGCTTTTGTGAAATTTGTTGCTCCAACTTATCCGGAACCAAATTCAGGCTTTCAATATCTTCCAGAATCGTAATCATTTGGTCATACTGTGCCGATGTAACTTGCATTTCTCTTAACTCCGTTCTTCGTGCTGCCAGATCAGATCGAGCACTCGTCAGCTGTTCCTTAATCTCATTGATATTGTTTTGTGTTGAAGAAACAGAGTGTACAACACTGCGGTAGGAACCAATAGATGTGTTGAACCCCTGATAGTTATCTAAATTTCAAGTTAGAAATTGATATTTTTTTTTTTAAAAAAAAAACTCACTGTTCACAATAAGCTTAAGCATTTCTTGAAGTTCATTTTTAAGCCCTTCAAAACGGTTATAATATTTGGCTTTTCCGATTGACGAATTATCCATTAAAGAAAGAGCAGCTTCGAGAGTGTTAGCGTCATCATCCATAAGCTCTCGCCATTCCATAGACACCGCTTGAATTATACCTTAAAAATGTTAGGACAAATACACACTAAATATTCTGGCATAACATACTATCCAAATGCTGGGAGGATTCTTCAGGTAGTATATCGTCAGCATCGTCGCGGTTAATGGTGGAAAGTCTTCTGGAAATATTTTGTGGTACCCCAAGATTGAAACCACTCATTGTTCAAGCGGTCTATTTTAAATAATCAAAAAAAAAGAGACAAATTTGTTTAGATATATTTTTTTAAAAACCGAATAAACCCCTCGTTGTGATAATTTTTGTGTAGGATGACCCGGTAATGAAATGAGGTAAATACTGAAAAAATAAGTGATGATGTGGAAATCCACATATGATTAAAATTACACTGTACTCATATATACACAGTTAAATAAATACCTTGATGACACCCGCTCTATCTGCGGTAACAATCATCTGATACGGTCTATATAAAATAGCAATATCAACAATAGATGCTTGGTGGTTTTTAGAAAGCTCTTGCTGTTCAGAACCTATTACAGAAGGCCGTGGGGGTCTTGGTGTGTAGGCAGATGATGACTTATTGTCACCTGAAGAAGCTTTATGGGTAAAGCGCTCTCCCACAATCTTGATTGCAGAATTATTGTAGGTAGTGAAAAAAGATGGAGTACCCGAATCTGAAGTTAGCCCACTCACAATAAAACAAGAATCAACAGATTCAGAATCCCAAAACCGGATTTTATGGTCTGTTCCAGCAGCCAAAATATTAATGTCATGAAGAGCCCTTCTATCAGAAGAATCAACTTTTCTAGAAGGCTCAATTTCAACAGCCATACAAAGCAAACTTTCCGACTTGACAGAAGGATCCTCCATACGGGGAAATTTAACCTTACTTCTTCCAGTCAAGCTCTCTTCAAAACTGATGGGGCGATAACTTTTTCTTTGCTCAATAACAGGAGCAATGCTATAAACTTCTAAGCAAGTCATTTTTTCAAGATTCCATACACTGGCTTCAAGTTTACTGGTTCCACCAAGCATGAAAAATGATACACCTTGAGATTTTGGTGCTATTTGAAGGCTGCGAATGGGTGCTGGATTTTCAAATGTCCATGTTTTGACAAGAATCATAAAACCCAAGTCAAATAAATCCAAAACCCCCAGAGATGTTCCCAAAAGAAGCCAATTCTTTTCATTGTCGACCACAAAGCACATTGGTATTCCATGACTAACGGGACACTTGAGAACCAAGGTTTCTTCCAATGTACCTACATCAAACCCAATAACTCGTGATTTAGTTGTGACAATAACTAACATTGAAGCATCAGCCGTTTTAATATGTTTCATAAAAGTGGCATATTCATCTTGTTGTAAACTAAACTTTCGAATTGAAACAAACTTTTTAAATCGAACTTGAGATGCTCCCTTTGCTAAAGTTACTTCAATTCGAATAAACTCCACAGTACCGTTGGTGTAAGAAGCCGCAAATGTGTAAGAGTTTTCCATAAAACAGATGAACTTGACTTTTGTGGGACCACACTTATAAGTGTGTATAGAGCGATTGATCACATTCTTTTCTAACCGTAAACAGTCCCAAATCTTAATTGTGCCGTCATCTGAGCAAGATAGGAAAAATGAATGATCGGGCGACACTTCAATCTTATTAACTGCGGACTGATGTTCAGAGAATTGTGATGCCAAAACTCCTGAGGGTTCCCATTTTGGAAGAGGAGTAGTGGTTGAGCTGATTTTATGAAGTTGCTCAGAGTGCGTGACAGGAATAACCTGAGGACCAAAATCAGATGGTTCTGCACGAGCATGTGTAACATTTACCGAATCTAAAAGTTTTGCAACATAGGGGTCAAACTCATGTTCTTTCTTTAGTTGAATTTTTCTCTTTGTCAAATATCGAGGTTCTGAATCTTCAACATTTTTGGGTAAAATACTAGAAAAAGGCTGTTCGACTGTTCCATAAACATCTGTAGTGACAGTACCAATAGTAGCTGGTGACAGTTCAACTGTAGCACCATCTGAATTAACAGTTATATCAGCAGGGCGTCGACTCGGACCACTTGACTTGCTTGTTGTCTCGCTAAGGGCAGTTTGTATATCTTCAAAATTGGAAAGCGAATCGTTGGTTTTATTGTTATTCCAATCAAAATCATTGTTTGGAAATTCATAAGAATTAATGGGAATTTTCAATGCCTTTACTGAAACTGGTCCAACGGTTGGCACATTGCCATCATTACTTAATGGCTTCTGAGTTAATGTCAAGGCTTCTGCCAATCTATAAAGATGCTCTCGAAGAACAGCCATTTTCCAAAAATCGTCGTCACTAACAGACATCTCCTTCAAATTCATTATCCATTCTTTATCTTCTGCTGACTGTTTCACATCGTCAATTGATCTCGGAAGAGTTGCAATAGAATCGGGTGTAAACACACCAGAGCTTTTTGCAGCAATTTTCCAAAAATGTGACTTTTGGGCTTTTGTGGCCCAAGATATAGCAGCATTAAAAGTTGCACGGGACAGTGGCGGCTTAAAATTACTGCCAAGAGATGCCTGAGAAAAATCGATGATATCGTTTTCAAGAAATGGTTCAATGATTGGATATAGCAAACAGTAAATTTCAGCTTGAGGCATCCATCGAGTCGTTGAAGAAATAAAAGCAAATGCTGCGTTACGAATCCATGGATTTGGATGAACCGTATATCTCACTGCAACTCTAAGAAGATCCCAGACGTGCTGTTTTTTAATAAGACCAAGATCCGAAAATGCCTTATACGTTTCAAATGTTTTTGATGTGACAAATTCTTCAGAATTGCTCAGTGCCTGTAGCATTAATGGCAATATATACATTTCTAAGCCAACAGGCCCAATGAAAGGCGACAGACCAATAATGCAATCAAAAAATTGAATCTTTAGAGATGAATCTTGATCATTAAGATATGTGAGAATATGACTGAGAATAATATCATTGGTCTTTTGCTTCCCAAAAAATAGACATAATGGTATGATTTCCTTCAAAAGTGCTTTACGCACAGCGCTATCGTTATCTGAGAGTAAGGCAATGGTATGTTCTTCAAACTTTTCAACAATACTCTGACGATTCACATCATAAGGAATAATATCAAACCGTGCCCCATTCTCAGTTTCTGGGTCATAGGAATCTAGCATTCCCGATGTTTTCAAAATCTGGCTCATTTCCAAAAAGCGAGATGCTATTGTTGATAGTGTAGGAAAGCAAGACGCATACATTGCTCTGACAAATGTGGATTTCCCCGGGTTGCTGCGGAAAATTGAATCAAGTTTAGAAAAAATGTATTCAAAAAAGATTTCGCCGTTTAAAGGTGTAATGACAGTGACCATTCCAAGAAGTTCAGTCATATTCCTAATGGCAGTCGCTTGGACAATGTCTGATTCGTCGTCTAAAAATGAAAGAAGATAAGGAAGGCAACGATCTAATTTTGCTTCATCATTAATCATTTCTCCAAGTGCTAAAATTAAATCACAGCCTTTAAGTCTTAGCGATGAGTTGGACACGTTTCGAACCGTTGATAATACAACTGCCAAGACAATCAATGCACCATCATCTTTGGATAAATCAAGTGTATTTGTATTTTGTTTAACTAAGTGCCGTGTTCCAGGAAGTTCCAATACACCAGGAATAACTGACTGTGAACTGTCCCATTTAATTTTTTCAATTGCTGGTTGAAATCCAAATGCTAAAGATATTTCTTCAAAATGCTGATATATAAATGACATTCTATTATCTAAAATAGACTGTATTGAAAATTTTTGAACAGTAGTTGACGATACTGCACTCATAAATTCATGTAAAAATGTGTAAAAATAATCGGGAAATATGCGGTGCTTCCATTGTTGAAGATATTCCGAAGCAGTTAGTCTATCATCTGGATTTAAGCTAATCATACTAGCAACCATTTTTTTGACATTTTCATTTTCAATCCCTGCAAAGGATGGCGTGTATTCTCCTCGACGATACTTAAAAAGTTGGGCTAAAGAGAAAATGTGGGAACCCTCAAGAAATAATTCTGCAATAACACAACCCAAACTAAAAATATCCATTTCAGAAGTAAGACCTCCTTCGACTGACTCTCCACTAGAGGTGAATCGCTCGGGAGCAACATAGCAAGAACGTCGTTGGGATGTGTCGAAGAAAAAGGAAAACTGAGATGGATCATCTTCGGGAATATAAGCAGGCTTAAATGGTGCAAAGTCTGAAAGATAAGCCCAATTCCAAGATGTCACAAGTATATTTTCGGATTTGATATCACCATGATAAACGTTCTTTTGGTGACATTTATCTAGGCAAACTAGGATTTGGAAAACTATCCAAAGTTTTTCAATAGGTTCTAAAAATGGTCGTGTGCTAAAACTGTTAGAAAGCTAAAAATAAAATACAAAATAAAAAATACTTTTTTTTTACCTTATTCTGTCATATAGGTTAGTTTTGATATATTGTCTAACCAAATATCCGGCACGGTCAGTTTCTAAAAACCTCGAATATGGTAATGCATTTTCAATCTTTAAAAGAATATCACGTTGTCCTATTTCATGTTAATTCTCAAATTTTAAGCATTGATTGAAAGTGATTATACATACTTATTAGTTCACTAGAAAAATTGCTAAGATCTATATCTTGTGATGGTTTGATAAAAACTTTGACTACCGCTAAGGAGTTGTCGCTAACACCTTTTACAGTTTTCAAAAAACGGGCATTTCCCAAATTTCTATCATATTGCACATTGTTCAGCTCCGAAATGTACGCATCAATAGCCACTGTGGCAGCTGTATGAGTCGTAAGCGAGAGTTGGTTGCCCATTTACTGTGACAAATGTTGAATCAATGAAAGAGGTTCGTGTTCATGGACAAAATAACAGTTCGAAAAGTTATAGATTATAAGGCGTGGAGGAGGGTATGGGGGGGCGCTTCTTTTTTTTTATTTTTTTATTTTTGTTTAGATGTGTGACGCAGGTAGTCACTGTGTAATTTCTGAAACAGACACAGTAGATTATGGCACGACGATATGATTAGATGTTATCAAGTGGCGAAAAGTAATTATGAAGAATCATCATCTCAATATTTTAATATCTAAATAATTATATTAATACTTGGTTAATTTTTATCAAAAAATTTAAAAATTTCATTGCAATTGTTTGTTTTTATTTAAAGGTTATAGGCATATATAACACTCACTTTTAACACTGTTTCTTCACACTTTTTTTTTTTTTTAATTTAAATGATAGAAGTACAACGCTATCATTATATGTGCCTATGACTTTCAGTCTTGTTGATGTACATTTTCAGTACGGTTGGCTTTGATTTGTGCACCCAAGGTATCCTGGAAGACAGGTCCTTATTCCTGATGTCTGTGTATCCAGTGTGTCGGCCCTAAGTTTACCCGACCCATTTTCACTTATTTTCAGGGACGCAAGTTTTTTTAATACATTTAGACAGATATATGTTTTGTAGTTACTTCCCAGGTAATTATTCTTAATAGAAAATTTGACTTTCCTGCTTGCCAGGGTAGCCTGGGGATTCAATTGAAGTGTGTACACTCATAAACTTCCCCAGGAAAATGAAAGTAGTTGGGAATTAAGCCCAGTAACTTTTGTATTCAAAAAAATAATTTCCAGAATATATCAACCAAATTTCTTTTAGTCCAGATTTGTTTGTTTGTTTGTTTTTATTCAAGGGTTATAGAATTATATAACATCAGCATCTGCGCTATCCTTCTTGTCCATACTATATATCTTTTCATTTTGGTAATAAACTTTTAATTTTGCCTTCAACATTGCATCTCCAACAGCCCGAAAATAAGTCCTGATGCCAGCTTACGAGGAACAGGGGGTTAAAAATAACCAAACCTTCCCAACCTATCTCCACTTGTCTTCATCAACGCTGTAATTGTATTTCTTAATCCCTCCAAGCAGAGATAAAGCTTACAATCTCTTGTAAGCCAGTTAAACTGTTTAAGAGAGTCGACATGTCCATCTCTGGAGATATCCGTTTCAGTCCTTTTCTTTCCTCTTCAAGCAAAGGACACTCAGCTAAAATGTGATGAACTGTTTCCAGCTCTCCACATTTGCAGTTGTAACTATCCTTTTCAATTCCAAACTTTTTAAACCATGCGCCAAAGTTGCCATGGCCTGTGCGAAATTGAGTAATATTACTCAAGATCCTTCGACTATCTTTCTTCATGATCACTCCCGTGACCATTTTGGAAAGATTATCAGTACATTTCGACTCCACTGTGATATTATGATACCACAGATCCTTACTGCTGTTCCAATACATTTCTTGCCATTCTTCCATTGCTTGTTTCTTCAAAATTCCAATCGTCTGATTTTGTTGTTGTTTCAGTGTAAGAGGTTCAACCCTCTTGCATTTTCGTTTTTCATCCTTTTTAATCATATAGTCTCTATCATCTTTCGCCAACATGTAAAGCGTGGTTAGCTTTGCAATTGGAGATTTCTCAATCAATGTTAACAAATGACCATTAATAGGATTAGTTTTGCTAATATTTAGGTGTAAACGAATAGCTTTTCATGCCACCATAAATTTTAGCCTAATACTATATGGCATAATACCAGCTTCCTTTTGTAGTACCGCAATAGGAGTTGTGCGATAAGCACCAACAATTCTTCTTAAAGCCATGTTCTGCATCACTTCCAACTTGTGGATTTCTCCTTTCAAGATTTTATGATGCCAAATTTCTAAGCCATATTCGACAATTGGTCTCACTCAAGCAATATACAGTGATCTGACTGCAGACCCTCGCATACCTTTATGCACGCCTCCAAGATGCCAAATAGCACCAACAGCTTTTCTTGCTTTATTGATTTTATTCAAAATATGAAATTTAAAATCAAGCAGATTGTTCAAAGTAATTCCAAGCAATTTAACTTCCTTCTGGGGTTCACGAAGTTCTCCATTAGGTAAAGTAAGTTGCACTTTTTCATCTTTAGGTTTCACATTTTTTGTAAAATGAATAAAACCCAATTTATCACCCAAATCAATTTTGGTCATCTTTGATTTAGCCCAATTACAACATTTTTCTAATATGTTGCTTAAGCTTTTGGTATTTTCTTCAATTTTACCTTCAACGGTAATAGTCACATCATCAATAAAGCCAAAAGGAGTTCCACCCCATTCTTTAATGGCATGATACATTGGTGTGGAATATATCAAAAAAAGTAGTGGTGAAATAGGTGAACCTTGCGGAATTCCAGTACTAATTTTTTGCACTGATCCTTTTCTTCGGTCCATGAGCATACTAGCTTCTCTTTCACTTACAAATTGGTACGTCCAGTTTATAAGTGCTTTGGGTAGTTTCATATCCTCCATTGTGTGTGCCAATATATTTCTATTAACATTATCAAAAGCTCCTTGAATATCAATGAGCATAGCTGAAATTTTTTTCTTTACTAGTTTCAATTCTTTGGACAAGTTCCAAAACAGCATCAGTAGCACAATAACCTTGTTTTCCCCCATATTGCTCTGGTGGAAGTAAGTGTGTTGTAAGCTTGGTCATTCTTTTTTGTATAATTTTTTCCAGTACTTTAGATGGAATCTTAAGTAAGGAAATTGGTCGGTATGCTCTTGGCATTGAATAGTCAGGTTTCTTAGGTTTAGGTATAACAACAATAATGCCATGTCTCCAGACTTTTGGGTGGTATCCAAACTTCACACAAGCTTGGAGAAGCTTGAAAAACCTTTCCTTAAAGTCTTTATTTAGCCATGCCATCTTTAAAACTTTGCCAGTAATTCCATCGTCTCCTGGAGCTTTATCATTTGGGGTATCAGCCAATGCAGAGTCAACTTCATCAAGCTCTAATTTTGGCCATCGAGAATCGTCATCAATTTCAAACTCTCTATCAAGACCATGATCAATTTCAGGTAGAAGTGCCTTCCATATTTCATGTCTTTTTTCGTCAACAGTAGTAGTGAGAGTTCCATCTTCTTTTCTAATTTGTGGTATAATGGTATCATTGCTTTTTGGATTAATATACTTCAAAATCTTCCAAATGTCATTTCCTTCTAAACTAGACAAATATTTATTCCATTTTTTAGTCCAAATACAGAGGTCGCTTTTTACCTTTATTTCTTGAATAGATTTAAATAAACAAATAAAAATATTTTATTTATTCAATTCCGATGTAGTGTAACGGTTATCACCTCACGCTCTCACCGTGGAAACCGGGGTTCGACTCCCCGCATCGGAGTTAATTCTTTTTTTTTTTGTTAAAACTAATATCTTTAAAAAAAAGACTCAATATGTTTACTATTGATTATCTAGGTATACATAATGGTTACTTGATCGAAATACAGTATTTGATTTGAAAAATAAGGAATTTTTTTCCTCCTTTTTAGTACTTGGCAAATTGAGTACGAGGCTGGTAGTGATACTGTGACTGACTACTACGAGCCCCACTCGAGCGTTTACCACGGGTATAGTTAGTTGGGGTATAAGGTTCGTTGCGCACTTCTTTTCTAAACGATTTGACCTCTTCTCTTAGTTCCACTAAAAATGAAGTTAGATATATAAAATCCAACAAAAAAACTTTTTTTTTCCTTTCCATTTCATACCTTCAAGTTCCGTATTACTTAATTTTTCAAAAGAAAAATCAAAATATTCTTTAGACACAGGTTCATCTTCAATAGACCGGACAAAGTTAAAATATGAATGGTTCAAACAATCAACAGCTGAGGGACGGACTGAAGGATCAAATTGAAGAAGCAGTTCGATTAAATCAAGTGCGCCATTGTTTGCCATTGGGTAAAGTTCTCCAAAGGGAATTTTGGGGTATTGAACAGATGCAGCAAAATAGTCCCAGGCATAGACCGAGGCAATACGAATAACCAGGTCTTTTGGAGGAGTACCCAGAACCTGAGTTATCGCGGTTAGCTGCGTTAGATGATCTCTTCCTTTAAATATTGGCTTTCTTCCAAGTAATTCGCAAATGATGCAACCGACCGACCACATGTCAACTGAAAAAAAAAAAGAAGTTAGTCAAATTGAAACATCAGCAAATTCAAAAAAATAAAATAAAATAAGTGATATACTAGCAGTGGAATAGTTTTTCATGCTGATAATAAGCTCTGGTGCACGATACCATCTGGTTGCCACATAGCGTGTGATTTTAATACGTTCACTCTCTGTATCTTCGTTGATTCCACGAGCAAGACCAAAGTCACAAATTTTGACTACCCCTTGAGAATTAACAAGAATATTTCCAGGTTTCAAGTCACGATGAATAACGCGAGCCGAGTGGATGTATTTAACTCCACAAAGTATCTGGTAGGTAATACTTTGAACATGAAAATCCGTTAATTCAATTGGGCCTTGGATAACTCGGGCCAAATCCAAGTCCATAAGTTCTATCAGAAGGATAATTAGTTAATAATTGTTTTCTAAAAATTTTTGAAACAAAAAAGAGCATACCTTGGTAGCAATACAAGCCATCATATGGAGCATGTTTGACCATATCTAAGTCAAACAAAGAAATAATCTAAAAAAATGTTAAATCAAATATAAAGGCAAAAATATTATAAATTGAAATAGGGATACGTTTCTATGGCCTCTAAAGTGGCGCATTAGTTTAAGCTCGCGCATAGCCCTCTTGACTAGAGTCTCATTGGTAAAGATCTTCATGACTTTTTTGATTGCAATTTTACGGTTGCTATTGTCGTTGGCTTCATATGCTAAACAAACCACACCATATGTACCTTTCCCTAGTACGCGTGTAACTTTGTATCTGCTATCAATTGCAAATTGAATGTCATCGTAGTGAGTCCTGACCACGGACGTCGAGTCATGATGGGAGTGCGACATTAAAAAGATAAGTGTGTATGGAATAAAGAAAAAAAAAAGCAGAACAAAGAGTGAATTGATAAAGCCTATAAAAGATTTAGAAATGAATCAAAAAAAAAAAAAAAAGCTACAACTGAGAATATTCAAAACACTTGAGATGTAATTTTTAATCGATATGTCTTTGTGGGGTTGGCGGGTAGAAAACAGTTAGGTTTATTACGAGCCTTAGGTAGGTAACGTACCGGCTTTGAGTTACCCTACCTCAAAAAGCATATCTATGATTTCACGTGATCTAATATTTGGTCCGTCTCGGTGTAATACGGCTGGTAGTTTCGGCTTGCAGTGCAAAAAATAAAACAGCCAAAACTAGCAATTAAAACTTCTCAAGATAAAAAAAGATTGTCCAGAATCATTGAAAAATGAGCATAAAAATGAGAAATATAGATAATGGTATTTTAGAGGTTGGGGGTTTTGTAGCGTGATGCTCTTGTATTATAATTATAAATGTGTTGAAATTCCCTCGTAACAAAAAATTTTTTTTCTACACTTTTGAATAAACATTATTTTACGGGTCTTTAAACCTCCCATACGGGATATCCCAAACCCCATTCCCCTCTACCCATTTTTGTTGCGCGAGCCCCCAAAGCTTCTCTCAACTGCTGACCATCGACCCCCGCTAAATAAAAATTTCAACGTTTGTTAAGCTTTTCTTTTGGTTTCTGTTATTGATTTTCTCTTTTTATATAAAACCACTGGTATATTATTGTATATCACATAAAAAAATCGCTACCCTACAAAAAAGCTAATTATGTCTTATCGGATTCCATCTTCATTTCTACGAAAAGGATGCTCTTTACATCCCACTCCACTGTTTTCTAAAACTTCAACCGCACGGAAGTACCGGCCATGCTTTCGCGCTGGTTTGATCTCTTCAAAATCTGAAAATATAAAATGGTACTGCGGTCCAACACTGTCAAAGCGGAGTTATGCCACTGCTTCTTCTAGCGAAGCTCCTTCTGAGGAGCCACCTATTAATGTTTCTTGGCCTACCGTCCAACACCCCACACCATATGAGATCTTTCATATTTCCCAAGGCACCAAAATTGATAAAAAGTTCATCAAAAAAACATTTCATAAATTTGCTAAGATCTATCATCCTGATGCGACTCTTGCCTCAGACGGATTACATGATAGTCTGACGCCAGAACTTAAAGAAGATCGTTTCAAAAAGATCGTTGCTGCTTACGATATCTTAAAAGACGACGCGAAACGCCGTGATTTTGATCTTTTCAACAAGGGCTGGGAGGATTCGCCAAGATCCCGCTCAAAAAACGTCTATGGTCGTGACTTTAGCCGCGCTACAAGATATAAGACCAATATCACATATGAGGATGACAGCTGGGCTGCCTTTCACAATGACTATCGCCAACATATGCAGCAGCAGGATCCTGCGTATCAAAAATCCCAATGGGAAGCTCACAAAAAAATGGTTTTGTATCTTCTTATTGGCTCCTTAGCTGTCGGTGCTATTCAATTTAGCTTTCTTATGAATCATGCAACAAATGCTGTTGAAGTTCGCAAAGAAACCTCTAGAAAAACATTTCACGATTTGTCCCTTGCTCTCACAAATTATGGGTTTGGCTTCTCCAAGGAGGAAAGAATCAACCGGTTTTTAGCTCACAGAGAAACCAGTGAGATGTATGATAATTCATGGGAACGCCAGGATAACCTGTGTACTTCATCCTTTTTATCAGTGTCTAATGATCGCTACGCCCGTAGCACAGCTCGGGAAAAACAAAATAAGGAAGCTAGTTCCACCAGTTCGAGCCCAACTTCAGATTCGATATCCGATTCCACTCCAGTTATAGCAAATAATTCGACTACTGCTGATTCTAGTATTATTCCTTCATCTGCAAATACGATTCCATCAGCGACACCACACTCAACATCTGCATAGCCTTAAGTCAAAAAAAAAAAAAAAAAAAAAAAAAAATAAACGCATCGGATAGCACGGTATTCGGGCACTTGATAAAAAATATCCAAAGTTCTGATAAGATGTTAGATAGTGACTTCACATTTGTCTACATAAAAAATATACTCTATTCTTAATCAATTTAACTCGTATTTTAGAGTCCATGTTCCAGATGCTTTATTCCAAGTTGCAATTTGCTTGAGCATCTCACGTACATTAGCAACGTCCTGGACTCCAGACATGGCAATTCCGCAGTTGGTGATAATGTCCCGTGACGTTGCGCAGTTTCCGGGCGCCTGCGCTAGAAACTTCCGTACAAGCTTAATGTTATTTAATCCATCGTTTTCCACATCATCATCTTTGGTTATTAAAGCAGCCGGTACTTGAGATGTATTTAGTCCCGGTCCCCGCTCCAAATCACGTTTTTGACGTAAACCTTGAAGAAGTGATCGAGAGGTTTTACTGCCACGAATTCCCGTAGATATGTTTGTAGCAGTATCAACAACACTTCCTGTATTTTTCTGAATTGCTTTGGCACGTCGACTAGCAGATGTAATAGCATTTGGATGAGCAGGATTCTCACTTATGGCTGCACCGATTTTAGATACAGGTTGCGGACTTGGGCGATTGCTTATTTGTCGTCCAGCTTCCCCAAATTTACCTGTCCAAGTAGGGACACCAATTTCGGCCTTTCTTGCAATGCGGCGAGAAGCACGCAATGCCTCAGCTGCATGCCTAGCCATTCGCGAGGCTTCACGGTCTACAAGTACTTTTTCTGGGTGATTTTCGGACATGATCGAGTCATGCTTTAAAGTACTATAAACACCAGAGTTAGCCAAAAGACCCTCCATAAACCGATCATCCTCAGTATTTGGTTCTTTAGAGCTGTTAGAATCGTCGTCTTCGACAATGTTTGCTTGTTTTTCAGATTCATTATTATGATAATCTTCAAGCCCCGCCACACCACTCATGCTAGCTACTTTCATAAAATCATCGCCATCAGCGTTTTCGGTATCGTTATGAGGAGCTGGTTTCGGAGGTAAAGATGTTTTGGATGATTCGACTTCTGGAGGACTGCTTGATTTAGCAATCCGTTTTTCTGTTCCTAGAAACATTCTTCCTGTTTCAGTATCACGGTCTTCAGATTCGTCCAGAGTAAAAAGATCATGCAAATCATTCATTTTAAAGAACCTGCGCTGTTTAGGATCCTGCAAGATTTTGTTTGTCAAAAACTGCTTGAAAATTTGTCGGTGATAAATCTTTTCCTCTATGGTTCCTGCTGTCATTAGTCGATATATCGAAACTTCCTTCTTTTGTCCAAGACGCCAGGCTCTCTCTCTGGCCTGCACATCTGTCGATGGATTCCAATCAGGATCAAATATAATTACTCGGTCAGCACCCGTCAGATTAACACCTAAACCTCCAACACGAGTGGTCAACAAAAACAAGTGGTATGATTCGTCTTCATTAAAAGTGTCAACAAGATTTTGGCGCTGCGCTATAGGTGTAGTGCCGTCCATTCGTAAAAACTTGATATTTAACTTTATCAAAAATGAATTTAAAAGATCCATCATTTGTCTTGTTTGGCAAAAAAGGAGAGTCCGATGGCCTTGAGTTTTCCAAAGCTCTACAAGAGCCTTAATAACTTGCATCTTTCCAGATTTCTCAGGAGCTCCATATTTGTATCCAGGGTCATTAGCAAGTTTATCTCGGTCAGCTAAGTCTGGGTGATTGCAAATCTTTCTCAAAATATCAATGCCAAAAAGAACCTTCCGTTTTCCTTCAAGAATGGATTTTAACTCATTAGATTTTAAAAATGCCAAATATGCATCCTTTTGAACTTTTGTAAGCTTGCAAAATAAAACTTTTTCAGTTTTCTTTGGTAAATCTGCTGCAACGTCAACTTTCATTCTTCTTAAAAGATAGGGAGATATCAAATCGCGAAGAATGACCGCACATTTATATGCGGTTTGAACTTGGACATTAGTGGCATTGGCATAACCACCCATGTTAATTGGAAGAGAAAATTCTGACTGAAAAACAGGTAATGTTCCTAGTTTCCCCGGAAAAACAAAATCGAAAAGACTCCATAGTTCAGTGAGATTATTCTGTATTGGTGTTCCAGAAAGGATGATTCTATGAGACGTTCTGAGACCCTTTGCTGCTAAAGAAATATCAGAGTTTGGATTTCGAATCTTATGCCCTTCATCAAGTACACAATATCCCCATTCTTGCGGTTGTAATAAGTTACCATAAACTCTTAAGCCAACATACGTCGTTATTATGACATGCCCTATGATTGTTAGTTTCATCTAAAAAAAACCATGTATAGCTTACCATCTTTGACAATACTATTAACCATTGCCTGTGCCCCTTTCATGCGTCTAAGAGAATTTAAGCTTAATGATCCATTTTCTGAATTCTCTAAAGAATCTTCAAAAGTTTCTTCCTTCTTTAAGTCCATACCAGATCCAATTGAGTGTAAAATAACCACTCGAAGAGGTGGCCACCATCGGTGAAATTCGTTTACCCATTGTTTCATAACCGTGGCTGGGCACACAATGATTGCAGGTTTTGTTAACAAACCACTGTAATGAAGACTAGCAATGAAAGAAACAATTTGAATAGTTTTACCTAAACCCATTTCATCACCAATAATACCCCCCACATTTTGGCAGTAAAGCTCCCATTGCCATTGAACTCCAGTTTTTTGGTAATCAAATAAACTTGTGTAAATATCACCCGGAACTTTGAACTCGCCGTCAAGATTAAAATCCTTGTGCAAAGGATGGGGCTTCATCCACTCTAGTTTTGTATCATCAGTATCCTCGATTATACCTTTTTTCTGGTTAAACTTTTTTCTGTATCGCTGTCGCTTGTTTACCCAACTTGCTAATCGCTTCTTATAAACATTAATATCACCATCATCTAGATCTTCTATTTTTTCTAATTCAGTCGAATTAGGCTTGATTTTTTTTGGTCTAGGTGCTTTGGCTTTTCGCTTTTTTACTGAAGATGTCTCGACATCACTTAATTCATAATTACTCTCATTTTCATTTTCATTTTCATCTTCATCTTCATCTTCGGTATTACTAGAACTAATAGGTTCATAATCATCATTATCATCTATATTCCTTCCTTTCTTCAGTTTTGACTTAGCAGGAAAAGTTTTGTCGGTAAATGAGCCACCGTCGCTCTCATCATCATCCGAGATCTGTTCGAGCTCGAGCCCTGGAAGCCGAAGTTTTTGATGAGTCATTCCAGACTCAGTAGTATTGTTGATAACATTTTCAAGATTTGGGTTCCCCATAAATGTTGATGAAAAAGGAGTTATTTTGCCAGTTCTTACAAGATAGTCATGTTCACTTTCTCCGGTATGTCTTCCAGATTGACCATCTGCATTTTGTGTTTGGCCAGCCGAGGTGTTTTCTCTTTGCTTCATGCGTTGTTGAATATCTTTAATATCATTGTCAAGAGCTTTTATATCAACATTTTCAAGTTTATCGATGTCTTTTCGAATTTTTTCTTTTTCGCTGATTTTAGTCCTAGAGTTATATAGCTTTTCTTCAAGGCGCTGGATGTGTCGTAAATGGTGTTCCTTGTTAAGAATAGTCTTATCAAGGCGCTTTTGATCAAGTTCATTTTCTCGCTCAATAATAGCTCTATCAGCTTTTTCAACGAAATCCCTTTCTAGCTGATCTTGGTCCATAGACCATGTTTCAATCATTCCTAATTCGTTCTCTGGATTAGCAGAAGTTTTTTCAGAAGTTTCATTGGTGTCGTCATGTTTTTCGTTAAAAATATTTGCTGGAACAGAATGTAATTTATTATTTTTTAATATGTCATGTGAAGAAGCCTCTTCTATAAGAGGCTCATCATCCGACATTTTTAAGAAAATCAATCAACTGTTGAGTGAATTGGTTTGTTGTATTTAAAAAAAAATGAACATTTTTTTAAATAAATTTATGGTGATTTTTGCTAAAAAAAAATATAAAAATAATGTGATATTAGGCTTATGTAAGGTTTCTTGATACCATAGACTTAAAGCAGCGGTTTATTAGAATTAGTAATGCAGCTTTAGCAACTTTAATTAAGCTGAAGCCAAATTTTCAAGTAAATATTTTTATTTTAAAAAGATTTTAATTCATAATGAAGAATTTGAAGATATTGTCAAGTACAAATTTTATCTGACAAAAAAAAAGAAACTGGGTTTAGATAAAAACATGTCTCCAAGAGGGTGTAATAAAACCCAGTCAGATTAAAATCTTAAAAAACATCCAATAAACTATTTTTACGAAGGAATCAAATAAAGACAATCACGACGACATAAAAAAACATCTTACCTGAGGTTTCAGTTATTGTAATAACCCTATTTCTTTTTGAATCTTAGCAAAAAGCTGCAAATCAAAAACTTTTTTAGTAGTAATTGCTTATGGAAAGAAGTAGAAATTCCTTTTCCCAAGAGAGAATCTGAATTATATAAAAGAAGCAGGTATTTGTCATAGTTCAAAGTAATCAAGGCTCAAAGGACTTCAATAAAAAAAATTAAAAATTAATGGAATATTTACAAATTTTAGTCTATATTTAGTCGACCTCCTCGACAGTGGGGCCGCTACCCTCACCAGCACTAGGTCCAGCGCTAGGTCCAGCGCTAGGTCCAGCACCGGGGAAGCCACCGGGAACACCGCCGGGAGCACCACCCTCACCCTGGTAGAAGGTGGTCATGATGGGGTTAGCAACACCCTCAAGCTCCTTCTGCTTGTCAGTGAACTCCTCAGTAGTGGCAGTGTGGTTGCTGTCAAGCCACTCAATAGTCTCAGTGATCTGCTTCTCAAGCTTCTCACGGTCGCTCTCAGAAACCTTCTCCTTGAACTTCTCCTCAGAGACTGTGTTCTTAAGAGAGTAAGCATAAGACTCAAGACCGTTCTTGGCAGCAATACGACCAGCCTCCTTCTCGTCTTCATCCTTGTACTTCTCAGCCTCGGAAACCATGCGCTCAATGTCTTCCTTAGAAAGACGGCCCTTGTCGTTGGTGATGGTAATCTTGCTGCTCTTACCAGTGCCCTTCTCGACGGCAGAGACGTTCAGGATACCATTGGCATCAATGTCGAAGGTAACCTCAATCTGAGGAACACCACGAGGAGCAGGAGGAATGCCAGAAAGCTCGAACTTACCGAGAAGGTTGTTGTCCTTGGTCTGAGCACGCTCACCCTCGTACACCTGGATAAGAACACCAGGCTGGTTGTCAGCGTAGGTAGAGAAGGTCTCAGACTTCTTGGTAGGAATGGTAGAGTTACGGGGAATGAGCTTGGTCATGACACCGCCAGCAGTCTCGATACCAAGGGAAAGAGGAGCAACATCGAGAAGCAACAGATCCTGGGTCTTGGAAGAAGAAGTATCACCAGAAAGGATGGCAGCCTGGACAGCAGCACCGTAGGCAACAGCCTCATCAGGGTTGATAGCCTTGGAAGGCTCCTTGCCGTTGAAGAAGTCAGAAACAAGCTTCTGGACCTTGGGGATACGGGTAGAACCACCAACAAGGACAATGTCATGGACCTGAGACTTGTCAATCTTGGCATCACGGAGAACCTTCTCGACGGGCTCAAGGGTAGATCTGAAAAGATCACCACAGAGCTCCTCGAATCTGGCACGGGTGATGGAAGTGTAGAAATCGATACCCTCGTAGAGAGAGTCAATCTCGATAGAGGTCTGAGCAGAAGAAGAAAGAGTGCGCTTAGCACGCTCACAGGCAGTTCTCAGACGTCTAAGAGCACGCTGGTTAGAAGAAAGATCCTTCTTGTTCTTGCGCTTGAACTCAGCAATGAAGTGGTTGACCAATCTGTTGTCGAAATCCTCACCACCCAAGTGAGTGTCACCAGCAGTAGCATTGACTTCGAAAATGCCATCCTCAATGGTCAAGAGGGAGACATCGAAAGTACCACCACCAAGATCGAAAATAAGAACCTTGCGCTCCTCCTTGGCGCCCTTGTCGAGACCGTAGGCAATAGCAGCGGCAGTAGGCTCGTTAATGATACGGAGAACGTTAAGACCAGCAATCAAACCAGCATCCTTGGTGGCTTGTCTTTGAGAGTCGTTGAAGTAAGCGGGGACAGTTATGACGGCATCAGAAACCTTGGTGCCAAGGAAACTCTCAGCAGTCTCCTTCATCTTGGTGAGGACCATAGAAGAGATTTCCTCAGGCTGGAAAACCTTAGTCTCACCCTTGAATTGGACCTCAATGGCGGGCTTGCCATTCTTGTCGATAACCTTAAAGGGGAAGTGCTTGATATCAGTCTGAACCTCATTGTCAGTGAACTTGCGACCAATTAATCGCTTAGCGTCAAAGACTGTGTTTTCAGGGTTCATAGCAGCCTGGTTCTTGGCGGCATCACCAATCAGGCGCTCAGTGTCGGTGAAAGCGACAAACGATGGGGTAGTACGGTTACCTTGGTCGTTGGCGATAATTTCGACACGGTCGTTAGCGAAGTGGGCCACACAGGAGTATGTGGTACCAAGATCAATGCCAATAGCTTTGCTCATTGTTTTTCGATGTATTATTATATTAAATCTTTAGTTAAAGATTGATTGATTATTTAATTTAGAAATATTGAAGTAAAAAAAAAAAAGAAAGAGAAAGGGAAAGAGAAAAAGTGATTGAGAGCGATCCATCCCCTTTATATAACTTTTTGCGAGATTTGTGATGGCCTTTCAACAGACCCGTTAAGGTCTTTTGAAAGCCGCATAGAAATCACTGGATGATTCTAGAAAAATATAGACTTTTGTGACACGAATTATAAAAATAAAAAAAGTTTATATAGTTACATTATAGTTACATAATTAATAAGTTAATGTAACTGTATCAATTTAAAATTCTTTGGGACCCTAAAACGTATGTAATATATTAGGTAATCTAGAGCAGGTGAAATAACTAATCCAAACACTGTGTTTGTAAGCTTATATAATAAGTAATTTTGCTTTCACAATGTCAAAGCCGATGATGAAATTTCGTTTTAAACGGTACAATAAAAATTAAAATAAAATTAAAATAAAAAATAAAGAATTAAGAGTTAAGAAAAATAATAAAATAATAAAAAAACTTTTATCTTTCTAAATATCCTTAAATATCCTTAAATTAAAGTCTTGATCTTAATTGATTATCATTTTTCCCACTCTTTTTTAAATCTTCGTTTCTAAGTTGGACCAGATCAATTTTGACTGATTACACACTCATAATTTTTCTTACTAGGTTACTACTGATCTAAGATCCTACATCCCCACTTTTTATTTCTGGATCGCACTCTGCACACTAAATATTTGAGTCATATTTTTTTTAGGTGTGCATCAATTTAAATTTGATTGGTAAAAAAAAATTTTTTTTCTAGGAAATTTTTCTGCATCCCGATTCTCAGCAAATATCTCTTAGAATAATGGTGACAACTGCTCAGAGACCTATACAAACCAACCTGGAGTCCAACAGAGTTCAAGATCTTGAATTGATCTTGGAAACTCTTACTCAGAAAATTTTAACATATGTGACCAAAGCCGATTCAGAAGACGGTTCTGTTGGAACACCACAAACCCCGCATAATTTAGTTAAATTGTTCAATGTTCCGGAAGAAGGACAAGGTCTACAAGACCTCTTTGATCAAGTAGATAATATTTTGAATCACTCCGTTGTTACCTGGAATAAGGGATTCATGGATAAACTTTACGCATCAACAAACCCAGTTGGTATTGCATCCGATTTGCTTCTCTCTATTCTTAACACTAATTCGCATGTCTTTAGTAAGTAATCTTTCTTTTTCTTTTTTTTTTTTTTTTTTTTTTTTTTTTTGAAAAAACTTTTTAACAATTTTCTTAGCCGTTTCTCCTGCTTTAACTATAATTGAAAAGAAAACATCTCATGAATATGCTAAATTGTTTGGATTCAGTAGTCCTTATTCTGGAGGTCTTACTTTCCCTGGTGGATCCTATTCTAATTCTACAAGTTTGACTACTGCTCGAAGCAAGTTATACCCTGAAACAAAACGATATGGCAATGGAAGTCATAAGTTTGTCATTTTCGCTAGCTCACATGCTCATTATAGTATAGAGAAAGCTGCCATATTCTGCGGTTTTGGATCAGATGCTGTAATTCGCGTCAGCGTCACTAAAGATGGGCGAATGATACCCGAAGACCTTGAAAAAAAAATCATTCAAGCAAAAGAAAATGGATTTACTCCTCTTTATGTTAATGCTACAGCAGGAACTACGGTCTACGGAACTTTTGACGACTTTAATGCTATTGCTGATATTGCTGAAAAATATGGCTTATGGTTTCACATAGATGGATCATGGGGAGGAAACATCGCTTTTTCAGAAAAATACAGATATAAGCTGAGTGGTTCAGAAAGGGCTAACAGCATCACGGTTAACCCTCATAAAGCTTTGGGCGTTCCTGCTACTTGCTCCTTTTTATTATTTCCTGACCAGCGAGTTTTGCAAGAGGCTAACTCTTTGCAAGCTCCTTATCTTTTCCATAACAATTTTTCGTCTGAAGAAAATTACGATTTGGCAGATGGGACTATGGGCTGTGGTCGTCGTCCCGATGCTGTTAAGCTTTATCTTGGTTGGAGATGGTTTGGAACTCAAGGATACCGTGATCGCATTGACTATGCGATTAGTCTCTCTAAATACCTTGCTGAACAAGTTCTTAGTAAAAACGAATTAGTTTTGGTTTCGGAATTTCCTCCACCATTCCTTCAAATATGCTTTTATTATGCTCCAAATGGCGTATTATCTGAAATTCCCAATGAAAATACCAATGCAACACGATTTATTGCTAAGAGATTACATGAAACGGGAAAATTCTTGGTTGATTATGCACCTGAACATGGAAAAGATAGTCGCGGTGAATTTTTCAGAGTTGTGGTTAACTCACCAATGTATGTGTTTATCATTCTTTTTTTATCTTTCTAACATTTTTTTAGTGTGACTAGCGATTCTATTGACGAGTTAATAAGTTCAATTTTGACCCTTGGACAACAGTACCAAACTAGATGAGTACAAAAAAAAAAAGGATAATAATAAAATAAAAAGAGGGGGACAGTCCTTTTGTGTTAGTATAAGGATAGATGTGTGATTCATGAGGGGGGATTATATACAATTTTAAATAAAAAATTCATTTACAGAGAGAATGAGAAAGAAAACTTATGATTCAAAAATAAAAACAAAATGATAATGACGAGAATAATAAAAACAAAAAAATGGGAAAACCCAAACATATGATGTGCTCAGACATTCTGAAATGTCCAAATAACTGGTTAAGCTTCCTTAGTTCTATCTGTAGGTTTTATTCCTGAAGCATGGCTTTTCACTGTAAGTGGAGTTTCAAGTTTGGCTTGTTCTTCTTCAACGTTAAAATTTCCAGATGATAATCTGGCAAGTTCTGCATCGTAACGGCCTGTAGAAAGTGGTGCATTTCCACGAAATCGTTTTCTAAAAATTATATTAATATTTCTTTTTCTTGATTTATTATATGCCAAATAATTTAACTCACCTCATATCCACAAGTCCGTGTCTAAATTAATTATCAATGTTAATAACAACATATCAAAATGAATTTCAAATCAAGAAAATAGATTAGACATACTTGCACTTATAAAATGATGCTAGTTGAAGTCGACATTTTTCTGGAAGTTCGCGTCGCAGTTCTTCAGTTTCAATACATTGTTTTGGAGTGTTTCTATCAATCATAACACAAGGGGATCGCTGTAAGCAAATCGCAACAGCATTTTTCAAATCTTTGCAACTGGAAGGCATATTTTTATTTTTGTTGTTAGATAGTCAATGGTGATGCGGTTGATCTATAAAGATATTTATTTAGCTTTATTGAAAAAAAAAAAAAAAGGAAGGCGAATTTCGGTCTTTGACCTGTTAGAAAAAACTGGAAGAAAATGTTTGGAAAAAAAAAAAATCATGTGTTATTCACGTGATAATACAACTAAATCCAGTTTAACTAATGTTATAATAAACATGGTTATGTTTAATTATATAGCATTTTATTTTAAACATTGTAACAGAAGTTGGCATTGCAAGAATCGTTTTTCTTCGTCACCATTCTTAAGTCACTTGAAAGAGAAACACAAAAAAAAAGTCAGTCTTAAATGTTTACTTTGCCATCAATTAATAAAAACTCCAAAATTTGAAGTTATCAAAAAAATATTTAATAAGTTTTCTTTATAGATTTTATTATTAACAAACCTTTATTGTAGTAATTGGCAAAATTATCTTGTCTCCATGATACCCGACTATGTGGGCATACTCTCGGATAAGTACTTTTACAATCGGATCGGCTCGCTCACGCTTAGTCTTAGGCTTAAAACCCACCATTCCTTTTCAGCCGTTATTTTCATACTTTTTTTTTTTGCAGCTTCAGATATAAATAGATTTTTTCATAGATAAAAAACCTAACCCTTTTTTTCATCGATTCAAAACCCAAGAACTTGACTAGGGATTATCATTTTCATACAATTGAAATTGCTTTAAATTTTGTAAACCCAGTGTTTAGTTTTCCTTGGCTTTGAATTTTGCCTTACTCTCATGTCACTTTAACATGCATATTTCTTTTTCTTTTTCTTTCAAAGAGCATCATTTCTGGGGGTTTTTTTTTTCAATGTATAGAATCTCAAAGTTGTTTTAAGCTTCATAGTTTTATATTTATGTTTTCTCTCTTTGCTTTCTAACGATAGAACGATCATTTGACTAAGTTGTGATGTCTTTACTATTAAAGATTTAATAAAAAAAATTCATCTAATCAAGTAAATATTTTTTTGGACATCAAAAAACCTTTAATATTCTTTTGCTTATTAGATGGGCTTCTCAGGCTATATAATTATAATTATAATTATTAAACCATTCAAAAACAGTATAAAATCATGCTGGGCAAGCGTTAAATAAGTCAATCACTCTTTTATAAACATAAAGTTAAATTTTTCATTTTGAAAGGCTTAGACACTAATCAGTTTTTCAATTGATGCTATCATTTTAATTGATTCAATTATCATAATGTAGAGCTGCAGTTGCCTATATTTTTGTTAATGTGAGAGTTTCAATAACTTTTTTTAAAAAAAAAATAAGAAATTATATGCTAAGTTCCTAGAAATTGCTGTCTAGATAAATTCAAAAATGAGACTTGAATGACGGTTTTCTAATCAGGATTTTGTTTAAACCTACGGAATTTGAGATTAAAAGCGCTCCGAAGTTTTTGAAGATTTAAGAGGATACGAACTTGTCGTACTATTGATACTTTACTTGGCATTGCTATTAAAAAAAAACAAAGGCGGCTTCAGTTTAGGCAACTAGTATTTTAATAGATACAAATTAATTAAGATGGACCCATTTGTTTTTCTTGGTAAGCTCATGGAAAAAGTTCGATTATTTTGCAATTGAAGAAAAATATGATTATGGGCCCCCATTATTACCTTTTATCAAGGAAACTGGTGATTTACCTATTTTTTGTTTTGCCTTGTGATTTTTGATTTTTTGATTTTGACATACTTTCGTTGCTTCTCAAAACACTGAAACTAAATCTCTTAATTCTATTAGCTTTTTATAAAAATCAATATACTCGGTATTCAGATGATATGGCAAGTATTTACAATTTATAATTCAGGGGGAGTGTGTATTAAGACATTTACGTTCATAAATAATTATTTAAGTTATAACTTAATTAAATCAACATGTGTATATTTTTGGTTAACTCCTAGATTGGAAAATCAGTTGGTGAATGGGTTTTCACGTCACTAAATTCTTACAAATATTTTGATAAATGGGTTTGAAATATTTATAATGGATGAATAAAAATTGGTCAAAATTTAGCATTTCTAAGCCACTGCATTCTAGACTTGGGTAAAAGCGGCTGTTTTCTGCATACAAGCTAAATAGACTAAGAGTAGTAAACTTTGTTCTCCCCACAGGATTATGTCATCAGAGATCTTTTGAAAAAAAAATTAGCATATTTGTTCGATTAAATTGATTCGACAGCGTTGCAAAATGAAAAGTCTTTCAAAATACCGTAAATCTGCTAATCATTACGGAAATTTCGCTTAAAAAATAAACATTTGTTATTAAAATAGATAATATATATATCTATTAGACTAAATAATAATAGCTTCATTTTTGGCATTTTGTGTCAATACTTTTGCTAATTATAAATTGTAAATTTATCTGGCTGAACTGGCTTGAATTTCATTAAGATAGCCATTTTTTACTAGATATTTAACTATTTTTCTAAAGATTTAATTATTTTTACTTTAGTCATTTGGTGCATTTTGGATATTTTTTAATGAAACAAGTCAGTGCTTATGATATGTAAATGGCTATTCTTTTCAACTAATTCTTAGTTTAAAACCCTTCAAAAAAAAAAAAAAAACATGGTTACTTAAACGTTGAAATTTTTCTTAAACAGAACCATAGGCATAATGAATTTCATTAGAAAAATTTTCAAGCTTAAACTGTTTGCAGGCTGTATCTTTGTAATTATGAGTTCAATTGTAAAGTATCCTTAACAGATGTTAGATTTTTAAGGTTGATCTAATCAATAGTCGTAATTGAAGTTACATTGCAATGGAATATTTTTAAAATGATGATTTCAATAATAAAAATTCTTGAAAAATTTTCTTATCATATGCTTGCAAAATCTAAATATACCATGAGGATTGAATTGTTAAATAACTTTTAATCTCTAATCTATTTGCAGTTTTTTAAACTCTCTGTTTAATTAAAATTATTTCAAGATAAGATAAATTTTCAAAATATGGTATTAATGATCACATAATTAAGTGAGTTTAAAATACAAAAGATATGTTTTTTTTACTTGACTAGTTATAATTTTGTATTATCGCAAATTTTCAAAAATTCGGTTTAATAATTCCCCTAAATTATTAATATTAGATGGTTTGATAAAAATTACTTATTAAACACAATTATGTGTTTTTTTTTTTTTTTTTCAAAAAAGTACCAATCTACAAAGCTCATATTTATCTATATTTTTCTTAGATTTTTTTTTTGAGTATTTAGTTTTGCCCGGGATTTTTGAAAATCAAAAAAAATATGGATAAGGATAGTTCCGACTATGTGGTTCGTTTTTGGTTCGTTTTTCATTTAAAATAGCTAAAGGTAAGGGTTTTTTTGAAAAAAAATGCGAGCGAGTAACGTCTTATCGCCACCATACTACTTCCCCATTCTATTATTTCAACAGAATTTTTTATTAAACTTTTGTTTTTTGAACATGTCAGCCAATAAAGATCTTCGCTTTTGCACCGTATGTGCTTCAAACCAAAATAGATCAATGGAAGCTCATCGGGTATTAAAGAAGGCCGGCTACATTGTTGAATCTTATGGAACTGGTTCTGCTGTTCGTTTACCAGGGTCCAGTATAGACCGTCCAAATACCTATTCGTTTGGTACACCATATAAAACCATGTACAACGACCTATCCAAAAAGGATATACGACTATATACAGCAAATGGTGTATTGACGATGCTTGATCGAAATCGCAAGATTAAAGATCATCCTGAGCGTTGGATTGAACATAAAAGGATATTTGACGTAGTTTTCACATGTGAAGAACGATGTTTTGATGCTGTCTGTTATGATCTAATGAATAGAGGTGCCAACATCAATAAACTAGTGCATGTTATCAATGTTGAAATTAAAGATAACCACGAAGAAGCCTATGTTGGTGCTCGAGGTATTCTTGATCTTGCAAATAGGTTTTCGGAAGCGAAAGACCTAGATACAGAAATAATGAGTATCTTGACTTTATGGCAAGACGATCATAAAAATCTACCTGTTTTATATTCCCCAGCATACTTTTAATGAAAACTGTTCTAAATTCTTATTACTTTAACTAAGCCAAGAGCAACTTGGCAGAGATTGTGTCAATATCCTTGTTAAATTATTAACTTTTTGACATCATAATTGCAAAAGCTTTTAGAGAAGGTTGTCGAATGGTTATTTGATGGATTATATAAGATATTACATATTTGTAAAAGACATAGGTAAAAAAATATCATCACTTTTGAGAGAGCTAAAAACAAGTTGTATTCCTTTATACTGTTTTTTGTTTGGCTTAAAGCATCTAGTAGCAAAAATGTCTATCGCTTCTATTATTTTGCAGTACGTGTCGTACAACACATACACCACTTAAATTTATCAATAACTATCATCATCACCTTATTTTTTTTTTTCACATAAACTAAACATTCATTCATCAACTGATTAATTTTTAACAAATATAAAGTATTTTAAATTTCTTGAAAACAAGAATGACTATTAGCTTTCTACCTGGAGAGCCTAACAGATATCCTAACTCTGTCTGTACCGTCAATTGGGATGGAAACAGAATTTTAGTATGTCCATTTTTTTTTTTTTAATCTCAATTATTAATTATGTGTAGGCTTACTGTTCCGGAAACAACTTAATAATTTTACAAGATACATCTTACCTCATTCAAACTATTTATCTCAACTCCGATGGTATCTCTATTTCCATTGATAGAGAATCTGGCTGGGTATGCTTTGCATTTTGATATTTGACTCGAAAGAAACGAAGCACCACTAACCTGCTCTAGCTTGCTGTGTCACAGGAAAATTCTGTTCAGATATATGCCCCAACAAAGAGATTTGACAAACCTCCAAAAGTAAGAAACAACCCCTTTCATTAATATTATTAAAATCTAACATTTACAGTGGGATAAACTAATAGAGTTTTCTAACGAAAAAAGTCAAGGCATTATTACCAGTCTTTCTTGGGGAACTCAACACGAGCTTTTGACTGGCTCCAAATACTTAAACCTTTGGGATGTAAAAGAAACAGACTGCAAAAAACTATGGTCTCGTGAATTATCAACTCAAGTTCATACAGCAATTTTTTCTCCCGATAGCTCTTTTGTTGCTTCAATTGGATTTTATGACCAAAATGTCAAAATATGGAATCGCCTATCATTTGATCATGACAACTTAGATTTTGATTTCACATATCTTCCTCATAAGGACATTGTCACTACTTTACGTTGGCGCCAGTCACTATATCCCAACCAATCGATTGCAAACACATTATATACATCTTGCGGTGACAATTATCTTCGCGTTTGGCAACCAACTGATGTGTGCGAATCATCTACCTTAAACCTTTGCTGTGAGATTGATTTATTTCAAGGGATAGACCATGATCCAAAACTGAGAAGATTTGCATTTATGCTTGATAATGGTGACCTAGCAAAAGGAATTGAAAATGCCATCATTCGTTCACATGATGTTCCAAGTTCATCCATAAAACGAATTACAGATTTGGCACAGATCTCGCCAGATTTATGTGTTATTTTAACAGAAGAAAATAAGATGGATGTCTATACCGTCGAAAATTTGGGCCACAAGCATGATAAAAGCGTTTCCATCAAACCTTTTGTAAAAGATCTCAACCTACCTTCAAGATTTCCCAGCGATGCAAGACATTTGACTTTTTTTTCATTTTTTAACTCCACTTTCACTAAAGACGCCAATGACACCCGACTAAAAGATATTTCGATCATAGTTCACGATTATCGTGGTGTTCTTTTACATTATACTGCTTTCATTGATAGAATGCTTGATCCCACAGTTACCAAAAAACATTGGTCACTTAATGCAATCCTTACAGGTCATAACAAATCAGTGCAACGACTTTTTAGAACAGCTAATGGTCAACATTTGCTCTCTATTAGCAGATTTAACGAGAATTATGTTTGGAAAATACATAAGCTTGAAGGTTCAGTTACTCTGCAACGGTGTTCGCTTGTTCTTACTGATGCAAACAAATCTATTAAGAGAGCAACTATTTTGGGGAACGGTGATTATCTTTTGACTATTTTACAAGACAGTATTTGCTTATGGGACTGCAAACGTTTCAATGCTTCTAAAATATCTGAAAAACCTTTAAGATCTAAGCAAGAAGCCATATTGCTATTTGCATTACCTGGAAGTGAAAATGTACTTGATGGACATGGAGTTGTTGCCATTTACCCTGATAAAACCGGTCATCTTTGGAAGATATCCTTACCCAAGAGCAACTCCCAAAATACTGATAATGGAGATATGATTAAAGATTTAGGCACTTTCAAACTTCCATTAGAAGATGATATGTTAACTGCTGTTAGAGTAGACCCAGTGAGCTGGAATGCTACATTGAACTACAGCAAGGAACCTAGCCAAAATGTTGTCTTTGCTACAATGTCCCCTTCTGGAGTATTTAGAAGTTGGTCGGCATGCTTGTCTAAAGATGAAGTTGAGTGGTTAGAAATCGACTTAGTTGAAACTGGAATACAAAATGCATCGAGAGTAGAAGTTTCTTCGATTAACAAAGTTGCAATTACATGCTCTACCTCTTTCAATTTAAGCATTTGGGACATGAAAAATCAAATGCTTGAATTTGAGCAGCGATTTGAATCTCCCATATCAGATTTAGATTGGACTGGAACTCCGGATTCTCAAGGGATTTTGGCTGTTGGTCTTTCTTCTGAAGTTATTCTTTATTCACAACTTCGTTTTGATTATACCAACAAAACTCCATGCTGGACACCAGTTAAAAAAATCGATATTTCTATGTATACCACTCATGGAATTGGTGATTCGATATGGCTATATGGAGGTAGTTTGGCTATTGGTGCTGGTAACCAGTTTTTCATCACTGATCCCGAAGTTCATATTACCGATACTAATACCAAAATATTGACGGGTTCTACTCGAGATAAATCGAAACAAACAACTCATCACAATGGCCTATTTGAAGTTTGCGCAATTCTTAATGGCCCTTTACCGGTTTATCATCCTCAATTTTTAATCCAGTGCTTATTCGCGGACAAACTTGATATGGTTAAATGGATATTAGTTCTTCTTTTACAAAAAATCAAATTTGGAGTTGTTTTAGACAATAATGTCATTGATATTTCAAGCAATTTAGATCTTGAACCAGAAAAGGTCTTGGATCTCATGAAAGAGAAGACAGAGAAAAAGGAGCATTTTTCAGCAGTTCCCACATCCTCGATTGATGACCTCCAAAAATTTGATTCTTCTGTCGCCGAGCAGCTGCAAGAATGGCTTCAAAAAGTATCTTTGCCTTTTTTAACCCAACATCAACAGATAACTCTTGCAAGTGTAATCGAAGGGGTTGCAAAAGTTCAAGAAAATTTGCGTTCTATTGACGCAAATGGTATCAAATTTCTTCTTGGGTACAGACTGTTTTTAATTCATAGAGGCGTCCAAGAGTCAATGAATATTAGAGATTTCAACTGGGCTCTTCACAGTGAATCGCAAGATATTCTTTTTGATCTCATTAAAGGAAATTCTGATACTAAATTTATGTGGCCTGTCGCCAGAGACACTGGTATGGCTTATTGGCTTAGGACAGATAAACTTCGTGAAGTATTTGAGCTTCTTGCCCGAAACCATTTCATTCAAAATAACAGAGACCCCACCAAGTGCTCTTTATATTATTTTGCACTGAAGAAAAAACAAGTGCTTTTGGGTCTTTGGAGAACTGCATCTTGGCATAAAGAACAAGTAAAAACCATGAAACTTCTTGCAAATGATTTTAATACTGAGAAGTATAAAATAACTGCACAAAAAAATGCGTACGCTTTGTTAGGAAAACATCGGTTTGAATATGCTGCAGCTTTCTTTTTGCTAGGCGACTCTCTTCGAGAGGCTGTTAATGTCATCGCCAAAGATATGAATGATATACCACTTGCAATTGCAATTGCACGAGTTTATGGGGGTGATGACCATGAAGCTTTTAAAGGACTTTTACAGCGTTATGTTTTACCAAAGGCTGTGCTGGAAGGAGATCGCTGGACTACTAGCTGGGCCTTTTGGAGGCTAGGTGATCGTGAATCATCCATTCAAGCACTTGTCAAATCTCCACGGGAAATCTTGGATAAATGTCAAGATTCAATTCAAATGGCAAAAGAAGACTGCCAAGTTCTTGACAACAAGTCGTTTTTGGTTGACGATCCAGTTTTGATAATGCTTTATCGAAACCTTCGCAAACAAAACCTTAAGAATTTACTTGGTGCTGTTCAACTAAAGCCTCGAGATGAATTTAACTTTGTTCTTAAGACAGCGAGCATATACAGGCGAATGGGATGCGATATTCTGGCATTGGCATTAGTGACAAATTGGACTTTTATACTGGATAAAGCTGCTTTGTTAGGAAAAATCACTGTGCCAACATCTATTGCAACTACCCCCATTGACCAAAAAGATTCGCCAAATATCTCGTTATTGAATTCACAAAGTGGATCTATACTTGACAATAAAAAGCTTCGAGAAGCAGTTGCAGCTCGAAGAAACTCCTTATTTGGAGGAAATGCAGCAGCCATGGCAGCGTTTGCGGCGGCAGCAGCAGCTCCATTACCCGAAGTATCAAATGGAACAGCAACTGGTCAAGGGAATGACGGTGGAACTAAAACGGAATCCAATGAGAATAACCCTTTCAAAAATTTTAAGCCAGCACCCGCTGTTGCGTTCAAAGAACCTGATATGAGTGCTTTTAAATTTGGTTTTTAAGACAGAAGAAAAATAAATCTCATTATTAACGCGAAATATATTAGTAAACAGCAAATAAAATGGTTAAATATAAATTAATACAATCTTTTTTTTACAAATTAAATCATTTTAGATCAATATTGGCATTGCTAAAATCGAGCTCTGGATGTTGTTTTTTGAAATTCTCCAAAATGTTAAGCTTTCTTTGCTCTTCACTAGTCGGCATGCCCATTTGCTTTTGTCGTTGATCAAACTAAAAATAAAGTAAGCCAAGTGTACCAATAATGATACCAATGTCAAAAAAAAAGATTATATACTCACCATCATTTTTTCTACCATGGCTCTTGTATCATCGTCTAGATCGCTTAACTTAGAATTTTCTGGTTCAATGCGGCGAACGTCAATTTTCGGTGCGCTAGTAACAACATGGGGCCACCATTCAGATTGGTTGATCTTCTCAAGAGTTATGACAAGTTCTTTTTGATCAACAACAGACCAGGTCGATTCTTCTGTTTGAACATTATTGAAAAGATCACCATTTATATAAGGTTCACTACCTGTTTTTTTCAAAGCTGCTGATATTGACTTTTTACCAATAACCACAGCTAAATCACGAGCGCGCGTTCCCGTAGGTAATGGAATAGTGATAGTTACGTCTTGTAAAGTTTGACGCCAAATGTAGGGTAAAGAAGCCTGCTCTGCACGCTCTTTTGCTATAGTTTCAGGTGAATTATCAACTTCAGGTGAAGTTGATTCTTTCGAAGCTACGACGGGCGTTTCGGTTTCTTGAGGAATTTCTTCAATTTTCATTTTGCTTAAGGTTTCTTATAAGAACTGGACAAGTGGGATCGATTGTATGCAAAAAAAAGCTCAATACTTTTTCAAATAGTCAGATGACTTGTGCTCATGGGTGGCTCTTTATTAATTAGTTTTATTACAAAATATATATTACAAACATTAAAATGTCATGACACAAAATCAAATGTCATCAAAAAACCTCCATCTTTTTTAATTTTTTACTTTTTAATACCCCATAAGCATATGTTTATTAATTTTTTTTATTGATTTCGTCACAAGAAAATCATTTAGACCAGAGTTTTTAAATATATATTTAATTATGTCTTTTAATGAGGATGCCGTTTTGGCCAAATTTTCGGCATTAGCGGAAACACAAGACTCCATTGTTAGTATTGCTCAATGGGTACGTTTTAAAAATTTGAAATTTGTAGTTCAAATTCAAGGCATCACCAAATGCCGAAGTTATTTTCAAAATTGTTTATTAACCTGTGGTGAAATATTTTTCTATTGAAAAATATTACTTTTTATTGTATTATAGGTTATGTTTCATCGCAGATACGCCGGTCCTATTGCTGAAATATGGGATCGTGCGATTAGAACAGGTATGTTTGAAAATATATCAGAACACTACAGTAAGATATTTATAAATATGAATACTAATTGTATATATATTTTTTTGTTCTAGCTCCTCAAAACAAGCGCCTTGCCTTAGTATATTTAGCGAACGAGGTTGTTCAACAATCTCGCGCAAAAAAGCGGGATGAGTTTGTTAAAGCTTTTGCAAAGGTAGTACCTGAAGCAATGGGGTTTACGTTTCGGCAAACATCTAATGCTGATACTAAATCAAGAATTAAACGTGTAGCAGATGTTTGGCGCCAACGAAATATTTTTTCAGAAGACGTTTTAAATAAAGTGGAACAGGCTTTTACAGAACCAAAGCGATTAGGCGGGTCATTGAAATTTGGTGCTGCTGCTGGATCATCGAGTAGATTTGGGCAATTATCATCAACATCAGCAACCCCTGCTGAATTGCCGGCATTTCTAAGCAAATTGCTCACAATGCACAAATCTTTAACTGCTAGTATCGCTGTTTCTGATCTTTCATCTAAAACAGTTTTAGCTGACTACACGGCTCTTGTAGAAAGTGATTCTTTACCAGCTCCAAAGGAATATTCCAAAAAACTGAGCAATTTGGAGCCGCGACTAATATCTGCTCATGCTAACCTATCAAAACAAATATCTGCTCGACGAGATTTGATTGATCAGCTTAAATCTCTTGCTGAATCTAGCGAGTCTCTTTTAAAGGAGGATGAAGACAAACTGAAGGATTTGGAGCAAAAGCAACTTAAAGTAAAAGACCTTCGAAACGATCTAAGTGAAATGCTGGGATATGAAGAAGAAACAAAAGAATCAGAACACTCTACAGAAGGATCGACTACTCCACCGTTCGAACCGCCTATTTCAAAGCATGGAGGCTCTACATCTAAATCATCTACATTTTTATATGAAGATGATTCTGAGGGAAATTCTTTAGCTACTGGTACTTCGACACCTCCTGCCCCTCCTTCGGATCCCACTGATAAAACTTTTGGTGGATTTTCAATAGTTGATGATGACGACGACGAAAAAGAAACAACTACATCTCAAGCCAGCCATCGAAACAACGGCCGAAAGTCTGTCACATTTGACACATCGGCGCCTACATATGCATCGAGCTCTGAAAGTGAAGAGAGTGATGACGAGAGATCTCACCCTCTCAAGCGCCAAAAACTAAAGGCTGGTGAAAAAGATTTAAACAAAGAATCTGGCAATTTTACTAATACAACCCAAACGAGTAAAGGACCTGATTCTAATATAAAAGGATTTGAAGGACTGGATCCAAAAATTGCCCAATTTTTATCAAGCTTTGCAAAAGGAAATTCTGTTTGATAACCTCGTTACTAACACACAATTAATACAGTATATATACCTTTGATTACTAGATGAATTAATATGTTATTTAAATACCAAGTAAATCTACTTGATTATCTATCATATCTAATAATTTATTACAGATTCTGGATACAGCTGTTCAGCTCATCTGCTAAGCGTAGTAAATAAAACTTTTTTACTTCGGGAGGAGTTCCATCAAATGAACTAACAAGTTTATTGATTGATGTTCGGCCTTGTTCATATCCTGCCAGATCTCTATTACCGTATACATCTTTTCCTGCGGCATAATGCCGAGCGTCCAAATCTCTCCAAAAATAATTGAGTGAGATAGATGATTCCTCAGACCTGGTAGCATGCAGCCAGCATGCTGGAATAAAAATTGCATCACCAGGGTGCAGTTCAACTTCAAGAGGCTGTGAGTTCAGAGCCAAATCTTCGGTATTATATGCAAATATATCCTCGATAACAGACGTTGAGGCGCCCGGAGATATATGTAGATGAGAAACTTCTGAAGGCGCATAAAGGCGTACAGTTTTGCGACCAACAATCTGAAACAAAACATTAGCTGTAACATCATAATGCAACCAAATTGCGGTATTGGGTGTTGCTATACGAAGTGGGGAAGAGAATTGAATTTGATTTAGATTTGCAAGTGAAGGTGGTAAAATGAAGTCTTTTTCGAGTTGGGGAAAATCTTGTCGAAAAATAGCTGGATGTGTTTTAGGATTATCTGTTGACAAAGACCTAAGATAATACTTCTTTAAATTATTTTGTGCAAAAACATTGGAAACGAAATCCCCAAATGGCATTGTTTTATATTCAAAATTTTTAGCAGCGAAATTCATATTAGATGCTTCAGAAATATGAGCAATAATTTCATAATCTTCACCCACGGTACTTTTGAGATAACTTGGATCTTTCCATTTTTCTAAACATGGTCCCAGGTCTAAATGACGAAACACACTAGGTGTTTGTTTGATATAAACCTTTTCCAAGAAATCTTGGAAGGATGCACCTATCAAATCAAGATCAACTTCTGTGGCAGATAAAGGGATGTCGGATTTCTTGCAATGTTCTTTTTTTAGCGGAATATGACTGAATAATTTAGCAGATTTGTGAATAACATGAAGACTTTTCAAATTAGATTCTTGAGGTTGGAAAATCGTTATATCATCCCAAAAAGAGCCAAATGAAAAACAAACAGCGCCACCGCCATATGTAACTAAGGAATCATTAAGAACTTCCATGTTGAAACCAACCAAAATAGGTGAAGTTTCCAACGAACTAGAATTTAACAGATTATCAGTGTATCGAAGAGGAGATACTTTGTTGTCTTTAGGATTAAGTTCAACAACCATATAATTCATATTCTTGGTCCGACTGTCGCTAACACCTCCTACCACATATATCAACCCATTTAAAAAGCTTGCCTTGGCTCCAATTCTGCTAAGTAAAAGTTTACTGTCGGCATCAAAATTGTTAGAAATATCAGTTATTAGAACACCTGATGATGATATCTCAAAATAGAAAACATTTTTATTAAGGGTATTGTTATTCATATAACCTCCAAAAATATAGCCATTTGAATTTGATTTATCCCATGCAACTGCACTGCTGTATAAATTTGGTAACTTATCACCAGTGCAATTTAACGGTTTCCAAGAACCAGAAGCAAATTTGACCCAGTCCATCGAATCTGTTTTTAATCCACGACCACCAAAAACAATAACATCATCATCTTTGGTCGAAATTGTATGATGCCTATATCGAGGAGATGGAAGATCCTGAACTTTTTCCCATTTACTATCAGATAATAACCAACAGTCTTTCAGAGGCTTGTTTGGAGCCAATCGTCCACCTACCAACATGATCTGTTTGCTGCTTTCAAGATATGTAAGGGTATGACACATTCGTTCTTGTAATGTTTCTTGCTCCATGACAAAAGAAGTAGAGCTGTCAGTTGAAATCAAAATGCTATCATTTGTTCTGTTTGTGGAAAGACCACCATTACTAATAAGTGAATTTGATGAAAATTTTGATCCCCCCGCAAATCGTTTGTGGAATGAAACAGGTGCCGCCTTAGTTATAATGTTATAATGGGGTTTTGTTATCAAAGTGTCCACCAAAGAAAACTCGTTAATAAATGGTGACTGATCTAATTTGTTTGTTGAAGCAAATAGAATAACATAATGTTGACAAAAAAGAATAAATTCTTCCCATTCGTCAAATGCTTCGGTCGAGTCTAAAAACTCTTTCTGTTCATTCGTTATAGCTGTATCATAAAATGTAGCTAAATCTGATGCTTGAACTGTAGCCCAGCCAAGAGATTTAAACCTATGTTTTTGGTCCGCTACCTGTTGATACTTCAATACACTGTTTAATGGCGTATTTAGTTGATTAAAATGTTTTAACATTGTTTTTGCAAATGGATGGGCAGGACCCGACGGAAGAATTTGCTCCAGCAGCACAAATCGAGAGTGCTTAAACTTAGATGCCCATTCAATAACAGAATCAGCATCTTTTTGAGGCATATAGGTAATAGATACCTCTGCTGTAAATGTAAAAACGGTATTTTCTGAATCAAATAAACCTTCTAAAGCAGCAGTGAAATCGTTTAATTTAGTCAAATCACAGCCAAGTGCAATATATGAACTGGTTCTAAGCTGAACAGCATCTTTAAGTTTTTCAGATACTGGCAATTGTTCCCCAATAACGTTTAAAATCTCAGGAGCTTGTTTAATCATTGCTACTTTACGTTTAATCAAATCGGGAAAATCAACATCCAAAAAAACGATTTCAGAGTTTTTGTTTTCTTGAGCATGATTATACAGGTATTGAAATGGATATGGGTCAAAGCCAGCACCAAGACCAACAACAACATTTTTAGAGCATGGACTAGACTTGATTGTGAACTCAATATGATTCATAATAGCTTCCATTCTTGTCCAATAGCCTCGGTTGATGGTTGGAGATCTTCGCTGAGGCTTAGAGACAAACGGTCTAAAAAATTCAACAATTGACTTTTGATCTTGGATTATTTTCCCATTAATTCCAGGAGTTCTTTTAGACCAATATAACCTTTCGACGGAACGCTTGGAAACTATAGAAGAATCGTTTGTGCCCTGAATCTTCTCATTGCGCGCAGTGACTTTTGATTTAACTAAACGCTGTTTTTTCTCATCTTTGCTCTTATTGATTTTTTGCTGATTATCGGGCAAATTTTTGGGAAATTTGGGTTCTTCGAGAGCCATATGTATTTAAAAATCTGATAGTCAAGCTTTCGTATTAAGTCAAATATGCTTAGGATCAGAGATAATTTCAATTTATTTTCAAAATTTTAAATAGCCGAAAAAGGAAGCAACTTTAAAAAAAAAAAAAAGCATTACCAAATATTACATAATGATTATATTATGTAGTTAAGTTAATCGTTTATTACATAATATATTTGAGATTATTTAAGTTCACGGGGCACTTAATATTGATTGTTATCAAGCCGGGTAATTAACAAGACACTTGCCATTTCAACTATTCGCACTTTTTGGTGAATTCATTCAAATATAATTTATATATTAGTCTTATCATGGGGAATAGGGATCATTTATTTCCCGACGAAAGTGTTCCCGAAAGTCATTCGGGACAACCCAGAGATTTTTTTGGATCTGATGGTCTTGGTTCTGCAGAGACAAACGAAAACCCAGTTATCTATGGCAATGACAATAATCAGACACAAGGTCCAGAACCAGAAACTGAATACACAGTCAATCAACAAGTGCCTCCAAGGAAAGATAAAGAACAGTCTAAAGTTTTATTTTTGTTACAAAAGTTCACATTATATGAAACCAGAACACATTTTTATATTGTCGGCTCGAACGCTCGTGAGATTCGTTTTAGAATTCTTGAAATTGACCTAAGAGTCCCAAAAGATCAATTATCTATTCGTGAGTATGGCGGGCCATACAATAGACATGAGGTAATGCAAGTTTTGGCTCTTTTTGAAGATGTGAACAAAAATAATGGTGGATTTACCAAGAAGTTAACTGCTTGGGGGATTATGGGATTTGTTCGATTCACTATGGGGTATTATATGTCAGTTATTACGAATCGCAGCACTGTCGCTTTAATTGGAGGACATTACGTTTATCATATTGATGAAACGCAGTTGATACCGTTATGTCACAGCAGTTTGTACAGGAAACCTGATCGGAGGTCTGAAGAGAACAGATATTTGACAACATTTCGAAGCTTAGACTTGAGCAAGACATTCTATTACAGCTACACTTATGATATTACTCAAACTTTACAAACGAACTTGGTTCGCGAAAAACATAATTTGGAAATTCGAAAAGAAAGAAAGTCATTCGAAGACTACAATAAAATGTTCGTTTGGAATCACGCGCTTTTAAAACCATTCATATCTAGTTTTGAAAATTCGATTAGATGGTGTTTGCCAATTATTCACGGATTTATGGACCAAGCAAGTAAGTCTGGCGTTGATTTGTTTTTTACATAATTACTGACGAAACCTTTTTTTCTAGAAATTGACATATATGGTCGAACAGTTTACATAACAATTATTGCAAGACGATCTCAATATTTTGCTGGTGCAAGATTTTTGAAAAGAGGTGCAAATGTGCATGGTCGAGTTGCTAATGAGGTGGAAACTGAGCAGATAGTTGCCGACATTAATGTTTCATCTTTTCATGACCCATTTGATGGATTGTTTAACAATCATAGGTACACTTCATATGTGCAACATCGAGGAAGCATTCCGCTATTTTGGTCCCAAGATGTAACCAACATGTCACCTAAGCCCCCAATTGAGTTAAATGCACCAGATCCATTTTTTGCTGCTGCAGCATTGCATTTCGATGATATGTTTGAACGATACGGACCTAACATTCGAATTCTTAATTTGATAAAAAGGAGGGAAAAACATGCTAGGGAAATGAAGCTTGGTGTAAAATTTAGTGAGTGTATCAAATATCTCAACCAATTTTTACCTGAAGATAATCAGTTGCATTACACTGCATGGGATATGAGTCGTGCATCAAGACATGACCAAGATGTCATTGAATTTCTCGAAAAATATTCTGACGAAACTTTACAGCGGACTGGGTTTTTTCATAATGGGGGAAGCGTGGACAGCATTAAGATTCAAAGTGGTATCTGCCGGACTAATTGCATTGATTGCTTAGATCGAACTAATGCAGCTCAGTTTGTGATTGCAAAAAAAGCTTTAGGCTATCAACTTCATGTTTTAAATGTCATCAGCGACACTGATATTGAGTATGACTCTGATGCAGTTGATCTATTAACAGAAATGTTTCATGACCATGGCGATACAATTGCACTGCAGTACGGCGGATCACATCTTGTCAACACTGTGGAAACCTATCGCAAAATTAATCAATGGTCAAGTCATTCACGAGATCTAATCGAAAGTATCCGACGTTTTTATAGCAATTCATTTATTGATGCTCAACGCCAAGATGCAATCAATCTTTTCCTGGGAAATTTTCAATGGAAAGAAGGTATCCCAAGGCTTTGGGATTTATCTACTGATTATTATTTGCACAATAATTTATCTATCAATGATGGGCCCCGCCGAAGTTATATTAAATGGTGGACTCCTAGCCATTTGCAGTCAGCACCAGAAAGAGTGCTTCATCAGATTCGATCGTTACACGAAAATATTGTTATTTCAGAGAATCCTCAAATTAATGAATTTTTAATTCAAAGGGCTATTTTGACTTATCTCCCAGTGTTTGATAATTATTGGAATGAATACTACAAGCCAAGAATCTACACTTCACTTCATAAACTGTTTGCATTTGAAATGAATTCCACGCTTCGTTATCAAAATTACGATGAACAGGCCTATCTTTTAGGCCCTTTCAAAACCCGAAAACCTGCATTTTCTCATCGACAGAAGTCAAAAGACAAGCAATCTACCACTACAGCAAAACAAAAAGCCCAAAAGCCTATTCGTAATCGCGAACAACCTACAACTACTAAATCGGACATTTGTGCTGACATTCCGGCTCTTGCTGTATCTCATCAACTTCATGACCTTCATCCAAAAAGAACCGATGTAAAAAGTCGACCAAATACACCTTCAACTCGAATTGGCGCTCTTGTCCAAGCTTCTTCTAGATTTTATAAGAAGCCCAGCTTTCATCGGCTACTTTCCGAACCGGCAAGGCTTTCAGAAAGATTTTGGGGAGGTTTGAAAGGTGATACTTCTAAGGACAAGCCTAACAGAAGGAACAGTTCTAACTCTTCTCTTGGTGGGAGCTTTGTTACAGGTTCTAAAATTGAAGACCCATACATGAATTCGGGTTATGACAACACATACAATGAGAAGCCTCTTGAAACCATGCTAGATGATTTATTAAATCCCTCTGTTCCGGAGTCTGAGATGCATATATATAGAAAGTATGCTGGATTTGAAGAGCTTATGGCCCCAGTTATTGATCCATCATCGACCACCTCTTTTCAAAAGTTTGTACCCTTAAGTTACAACGAGAAAAACTACAATCGAGAAATTTCTGATTACAGTGTTTCTCACTCAACTGTTAACACTGGCCTATTACATCCTACTGAGTATGGAAGTACTACAAACCTAAGGAACTTAGATCTATATACCAAGTCGTTAAATGTTTATGACCACATTACTGATGATGTTCCTTTCCAAGATCAACGCATTTATGAATTTGCGTATAGTCTTAGTAACATGAATCCACCAAAGACCGTTGAAAGGAGACAACCAAACATTTCTCATTTTTTGGATAATAGTAATAACATGTTTCCTTGCCTTTCTTATTCGGAACCAGAGGCATGTGATATGGGGCTGGGGGGTTTGATGAATGTTGTCCCCGAAGAAAATATACGATTTTATTCGAGTTGGCTTAATGAAAATTAATAATAATATAATTTTTTTATATCATGTAATATATTATCAATTATAGTAATCAATAGCATTAAATGATATATTGTATCATGTAGAAGCAAAAATAGATGCCACATTATTTTCAACTTCATCTTTACTCCAATACTGGCCATTTTCAATACACCTAGCTACTTTCCAAGTTGTGAGTACATCATCTGAAACCACCCAGACTTTGCCGTTTAATCCAACAGCGGTTTCAAAGCTCACATGTTCACCAATGGCTTTCAGCACAGGCCCACCTTCGTAATAAAGCATCCGAGCATAACCTAAAGGAACGTCAATAATATGTCCACCTTTAAGCTCCCCGTAGCCATCAGATTGTCCAGTAGTCGAATTGACACATTCCATTTCCGTCTCGATATTTAAGTCAGCGGCACAGATTCTTCCATAAACGACAGCCCCTGGTGAAAGATTCACTTTATTTTTTTTAGTGGCATTATGAAAAGCAAACTGCCCTAGTTGGACTGGTGGACTGTATTCTTGTAACACTACGCGAAATCCTTCTGAATGTCGCAATGAAACGATTCCTATAACATTGTCACCCAAAACAGGCGTATACTGTAAAAAAATTAGCAACTATAAATATATAAAACATACAAATAATACTATCCTAATAATTAACTTACTCGTTTGTTAGAGCTTTCCACATAAATAATAGCACCATTTTTGATCTTTTTTGTGGAAAGATAGCCCGCTTTTATAGGCACTGGAGCAGTAACAGGATTTTGAAAAATATTAGGACCGAGTTTTACCGGGGAAGAAATTTTTTCAATAGCATGCTCAAGAGTATCTGAGTCACCGGGAAATATTATTTGTTTAGATGTCATTCTTATATGTGTTTTTGGTTTGAAATTAATAACTTACTATCTATGTGAGGGTTGAAGAAAAATATTAGATCAACAAAAAATTTTGGTGGGTAAGGGTTTTTTGCGGATTGTCAACTTTGGCCATATAGCTTAGCGGTACAATAAATTTACAATATTTACAATACAATGGAAGGCTTGAAAATGATAAATTAACAAAGGTTAAAATCGATTTAAAATATTTTATAAAAAAATATAACATTGAAATCTATAAAATAGAATTCAATTGTTATAAAAAAAATTTAATAATAAAAGAAATAAAACTGAAAATTCATTACATAAAACAATAGGGGGGTCATCAAACATAAAAGAAAGAGCCATACTTTTACACGTAATCTATATGTGTAAAAATAATCATTGTATGGCCTGAAAAAAAAAGAAACATTACATTATTTTTTTTTCATAAAGTCATTATGGCCATTTAGGCCTCATTAAGAGCCTTGCGAGCCCAGGTGGGAAGAACAAAAGAGGCAGAGTGGATCTCCTTGTTGTAGTACTTGTTGATCTTGTCATTCTCTTCGTCGTCAAAAAATCTAAGGGGGACCTTAGGAGTGGCATTGGGGTCCTTGGAGCAGACCATAAAGCCAATTTGACCAGAGGGGTAGGTAGGAATAGTAGTATAAGCATACTCAACAGTAGGGAAAACAGACTTGCAAGCCTTCTTGAGATCCTTAATAATATCGAGATGAAGCCAGATGCTTTCAGCCTGAGTAGTAATAACACCCTTTTCAGTGAGAGCGTCAGAGAGGAGCTCAAAGTAAGGCTTCTGGAAAAGAGAGGCAGCAGGGCCCTCAGGATCAGAAGAATCGGTAATAATGCAGTCAAAAGTGTTCTTGTACTCAGCAAGGAACTTGAAACCATCACCAATGTGAACAGTGACTCTCTCATCTTCAAAACCCTTCTTCATCTCCTTAAGGTAAAGCTTGGAAACTTCAGGAACCATCTCGTCAATATCGCAAAGAACGGCCTCTTCAACGCACTTGTGCTTAACAACTTCGCGAAGAACACCGCCATCACCACCGCCAATGACAAGAACCTTCTTAGGGTTGGGGTGAGAGTTGAGGGCAAGATGAGTGATCATCTCCTGGTAGCTAAAAACGTGTTAATAAACTAGATTCCTAACTGGCCAGATTGCTTTTTAATACATACGAGAACTCATCTCTTTCAGTAGCCTGAATAGCACCATCCAAAACAAGGACATTACCATAGTCAGTAGACTCAAAAACAAGAACCTGCAAAAAATGTTAACAAATGGAACAATTGAGAATGAAAAAAACTTTTAAACATACATCTTGGTATTTAGACTTAGCGGCGTGTAAAACCTTCTTGACTCTAAGAGTCATAGCCTCACCAGGCCACATGGTGTCAGAAATTTCGCGGAACCATCCGTCAACGATAGAAGGGTGAGTGAGCTCAGTAGACATTGTAATTTAATAATTGAGAGATTTGGAAATATAAAGGGTTGGTTTATCACAATAATTTGAGATAATGTAGAAAAAAAAGCAAAAGTCTACGAAAAAATTTTTACCCTTAAATACTAAAAAATTATTACATAACAATACTGATATTATTACATAAACAAACTGTGACTTCTTGAAAATTTTTTTTCGCATATACTTACCTATAACTTTAAGGGCATTCGGAGAGTTTGCAGATTATTTGCATAATGCTGTTAATTTATCTTTTTTTGCTGAGAAAGGAGAACTGGTCACGCCGCTTCTAGCTTCCAAAGTCAAACTATGCGAAAAAATTACATCAAAAATTAAAAAAAATAAATATCTTTAAATATTTCGTATTGGAAAAGTATATCAATTAACCTATTGTTTAACTTAATAAGTTTCAAAAAACTCCTTGTGTGAAAGGATATAGTTTGTTCGGTCTCTTCTGTAATCATCCTTCATTAAGCTTCCATTTTTAAAAGATATTTTTACTGCATCTTGAGTGGATTCGTGATATTGAGGAAATTGGATAAGACCTCCATTGTTTGTATTAGGATCAAAGTGGTTTGCAAAAGAAATAAAATATCCCCGGTAGGCGTTGCTAGGATAAAACTTATCAAGAAAAAACTCAAAAATAATGCAATTAGTGTGGAAAGTTCCCAAAAACGGAACTTTGTTATGAAGAGAGTCAGAAAAATATGTGTATCTTGGAGACCTATTTTTTTCAGTTGCACTAAGAAATTGTCTTCTAGTACTGACATATAAAAGATCAGTAAGGAATGCAGATGATCTTTTAAAGCCTGGATATAGCTCATTTGCGTTTCCCGTTCTAAATGGAGCTCCTTCGGCTTTATCCATTGGATACATTTTTAAGGCTGTCTCAAGGCATTCACCACCACTGGGGAACCATTTTCTCATTAAACTTTCAAACTCTTCGTTTGAACGAGTCGCTGTAATGAGGGAGATTAAAGTTCCTTCATCTTCCTGATTTCCAATAATAATTGGGATATCTGGAAGCCGCCCTTCTTCTGCTAACAAGAGTGGATTTTTTTCAAGAATATAACCATCTTGTCTTGGGCCCCAAACAATAAACTCATTTGCAATATCATAAACTTCACCAGGATTCATATTGTAACTTTGTGCATCCCAAAGTGTTTTAGTATTGGAAAATCTCAAACATTTAAGTGCTTCTTCTTCTGTAGCTTTTTGACCAGAAGATGTAGTGCCGCAACCTGCACCATTTGCAAAAAACCAAAATAATTCTGTAGCTTTAGGGGCATCAACAGGTCCAAATGGCAAAAGACTTCCACTTTGCAAAACCGCAGCATTGAAGAGAGGTTTTCTTTTCCAAATTGAGGATAACATTGTATGCGTGATCATCATCGCACCACTACTTTCGCCTAAAGCAGTAATGCGATCTGGATTACCTCCAAAATCGGCAATATTGTCTTGTACCCATTTAAACCCATTAACGACATCCCAAATAGCTGGATTTCCAGACCCTTCATCGGCAATTGCATTTCCTCCAAGAAAACCAAAGGGTCCAAGACGATAGTTGATGGTAACAAAAATCACGGGCTCTCCAAGTTTAACGCTATGTTGAATCCATTTTTCCCCTGGGTACATAGCACTACTTCCAGTTTGAAAAGCGCCTCCATAAACCCACACCATCACGGGAAGTTTTGCATTGGAAGGTACTCCAGCAGGTCGATATACATTTAAATTCAAACAATCTTCAGACTGATCTGTTGATTTTGCAAAATCCAAAAGGGAAGGTGTGATATTTCGAATTAAAGGTAAAATATATTTCAGTGACTGTTGGTTTTTAACAAAGTTTTGGTTATAACAAGATGGTCCATAATCTGTTGCGCGAAATCCATCAAGAGACCCATTGTAAGGAATTGACGGGCGAAATCTAAGATTTCCTAAAGGTGCATTAGCGAATGGAATTCCCCTGTAAGACTCAACTCCATTTTTCTCTAGACCAGTAATAACATCTCCATCACTTCGGATAAGCTGAACTTCAGTTCCATAGCTTTTTGCAGATATACAACAAAATGATGCCAGATATATAAAAGCTGAAAATTTCATTCTTAATTTTTTCAATTGTAGAAATTGATAAAAATCATTCAAAAAATGAGGAACTATATAGTATTTATATTGTAAAAATAGTTACTTTGATCAAAAAAAACTACCATTTTGATTTGAAATTCTTCTGCACTTCTTAAATAATTTATGCTATTTTTTTGAAGTCAAAATCATAATGGTTTATTAGAATGCCAAATACAAACGAAAAGTTAATGCCATGTTTATGTAACGGTTTTTTTTTTATTTTAAGCTCTATAATAAGCATAATTAGAAAAGAAACACAATATGACATTTAAAGGTTGTGAAAAATTATCCAAATGATAATTTAATCATGAAAAATTATTCAAATAATAATTTAATCATTAAAAAGCAAATCTTTTATTTATTAAAAATTCAAAAGATAGCGCAGATGCTAATGTTATATAATTCTATAACCCTTAAATAAAAACAACCAAACAAACAATAAAAATTTAAATAGCTGAACTGTTTTGACAATTCAATTAGAAAAATTTCTGATTTATTGTAAAAAAAACTAAAATTGAGTTAAATAATTAAAAGTAATGCAATATTAGGAATATTTTTATGCATCATTATCTAGCTAATGATTATATCGATATTCCATTTAAAACAGCTCAACCAAAAGTAAACTGACAAATGCTGTTTAATGTCATCCAAAATAGAATAATAGAACGATTATAAACAAATTACTTTCTAGTACGTTTTATTTTTTTTTTAAAAATAATTATATATTTTAGCTTCTATAGCTTGTATTGATTGCTTAAAAAGATATATATATATATATATCTTAAATAAAAAAAGTTAACTGGTAATCATTTTATGTTATGGAATCAGTTACTTAAACAGTTAATTGAGATTATGATTATGCACAACTTCTACAACATTGCCAGGCTTTTTCATTTTATTTTCCCGTTAAAATAAAACTCAAAAAAAATCAAGATTAATCTATTTTAAATGTATGATTTCATTTATAAATTTATCTAAATGAAATCTCATAAATATATGAGTTTACAAAGTAGGTGTAAAATTAGTCCGACAGAACTTAAATTAAAATTGTCATATGATAACTTTGTTTATTTAACCCATATGTTATTGTTATCTAAAGTTACCCTACTTTTATTTGTACTCAAATATATCCCATTCTCAAATATTTTTACACGTGATAACTTGACAAGTATAAATAGATTTTCTGCTTCTCTGGCTTTGCCCCAAAATTTTCTTACTCTTACCATTAACTTTATCTCTACTGGAATTCTGTCATTTTTGTTTTTTATAATTTAAGTCGGCCTAACGATTTTTAACAATAAAAATTTTTATCAATGTTTTTACTTGACTTAAAAAGTTTTTAGACGAGTTTAACTTTTCTTACTACTTAATTACTATCATCATGTTTCTATTACCGCTTGATACCTTTTAATCTATACATACCGTTTTCTTTCTTTCATTTCATTTCGTTTAAAAATTTGATTTTGGTTTCGGTTTTGATTTTGATTTTGATTTTGATTTTGATTTTGGGCTTGGTTTCGTTTTCCGTTAGACTCCTTATTCTCAGAATATTGTTTTCAAACTAAAATCCTTCCACCACATTACATTGCTACTCCTATTTGTATCAATCTTCTCTTAAAGGTTAATGATATTTTTAACTCAATAGTCTTTGGGTTTAATCTTCTTTTGATTCATACTTTTTTCAGTTTACTTTTATGATTATTTTGATTTTTGATTTTTGATTATATTAGTTTAATTTTTTATCCTAGTACAACTGATAATGGAATAATGTGTTATTATATTTAAAAGAAGGTTCTCATATTGATACCCGTTGATTAACTATAGTTTTCTGTCAAGAATGTTATCGAGTTATGTATATCAGTCACTATAACGGCTTCACAGCTAGAATGTATCACTATTGTTTGTATCGTTTATGCCCTGCCAATAATGCTTTACGACGTATAAATACTGAGCATTATTGTTGTAAATTTACAACTCTTCATATATCAACTTATTTGTAATTAAATGAACCAAGATGGTTTTTATAATTTAATTGAAATTTATTTATTCCTATGTTGTTGACGATTGTGCTGTTACTGTTACTGTCACGTAATGACTGTAGAATGCTTGCTGTCCTTTTTGTTTTTGTTTTTGTTTTTTGTCACTGCCACCAATTTTTTTGTTTGTGCGCCATGCTGCCAATTCGAACCCTATGTAAAATTTTTTTGGTATCCTTCACTTTTTCCTTTTTTTCTTCACTTACCCATCAGTGCACCCTCCCACACAAACAAACAAACAATAAACAAAAAATATAACGGAGGTATTTCGCGTTATTACTCATTTCTCATTATTCATTTTTTGTTTTATTTTGTAAAGTTTTTTTTTTTAAATCTTGATTTATCATTATTTGATATTTACTGAGCCTTTGCCTACAGGTATGATTATAATTCCATTGTTTTGAATAAACATTTTTTTTTCTTTTTATTTGAATCCTATATCACAACACCTTTGGTTTTATGATTAGTATAGTTATTTTAAGCTTATTATAGTTCTATTTTTTCAGATTCAATCATTCATGAAAATTATTTACTTATGTTGTCTTTAAATTGTTGGTGCTAATATTCCTTTTTCTTCTCTTTTCTTCTCCTTTACTTTCAAAATGACGATGCACACACTCCCTTTTATTGGAAAAAATTTATTCAAGGTTTCCTCACACTATATTGTTTACTATGAACGCGCTCTAACACCGTATAATCTAACTTGAACTGTTTCACAGATATATTTCTTGTCGCCAATGACTTCAAAGCCAAATGGTATGAAGGCTCCACTTCACTCGGAGTTTTATGATAATCCATCTCTTTATGGGCTTCGTCGTAGCACGCGTGCTCATAAATCTCCAGAGCGCTTTCAAGCGGATGAAGAGAAACCAAGACGTTCTCGCAGCTCAAGACCAACTTCTTCAGACAATGATTTCAGTGATGAAGATAACGACTCAGAAGATGTTTCTATTTCTCGGAGGAAAAAGAAGCGATCGAAAGCTGGTACAAAATCAAAAATAGGCTCTAAACGTTCTAATAGCAATGATTCTTACGACTATTATGCTGAACCTTACGAAGATACAGGGTTCAATGCCGGAACTAATGATGATGAAGAAGATGAGGATGGTGAATTTTTCCAATCTCAAAAGCATGAAGCTTCTAGTCGTGCCAAGAAGAAACAGCGTGTTATCAAGTCGGGTTCATCTACCCCTCAGTATACACCAACAAGATTTTCTTCTAGAACAAGTAAAATTGTCAATTATAACATTGATCAGGACAATGATGACGCTGATTTAATGGATTCCGAAGATGAAAAACGTGCTCAAGCTGCTTATGTTCAAGATTACATCGTTGAAGATCCAAGTGGTAAGTCTATCTTTTGCTTTTTTTATATTAATGTTTAACCAAAATTTAGAATCTATTGATGTTATTGTTGATCATCGTCAGATTGAAGATGCAACTACTCGTGATCCCAAAAGCGATTTAGAGTACTTGATAAAATGGCAAGGTATTTCTCATATACACAATACATGGGAGCCTTACGACAATCTCAAAAACCGCAAAGGTGTTAAACGAGTGGAAAACTACATTAAGAAGTATGTTCTCCCTGAGAACTTATACTTGGGTGATTTAAATACCTACAAGGACGAATTTGAAATCTTCAGCATAGAGATGAATAAGAGGCGAGACGAATATAACATATACAAAACCGTTGAACGTGTCATTGCATCCCAGCGCGTCACCACTCAAGCAAATCATACTAAACTCGAGTACTTTGTGAAATGGAAAGGTCTTACTTATCACCTGAGCACTTGGGAGGATGCTGAAGTTATTGCTAAAATTGCTCCTCACGAAGTTGAAGTATTTCAAGCACGTCAAAATTCCAAAATTTCCCCTTCCCATGGTACTGTGTATTCTGGACCTCGACCAAGTTTTGAAAAGCTTACTGAGCAACCAAGCTTTGTCAAAGGCGGCGAATTAAGAGATTTCCAATTAACCGGTTTAAATTGGATGGCGTTTTTGTGGTCGCGCAATGAAAATGGAATTCTTGCGGATGAAATGGGTCTTGGAAAAACTGTTCAAACAGTTGCATTTCTTTCATGGTTGGTTTACGCTCGAAAGCAAAATGGCCCATTTTTGGTCGTTGTACCATTATCTACTATTTCCGCTTGGCAAGAAACTTTAGAGCTCTGGGCTCCCGATCTCAATGTGATTGTTTACAACGGAAATGATGAGTCTCGGAAAATGATTCGACATTATGAATTTTTCGTCAAAAACAATCCTAAAAAAGTCAAGTTCAATGTACTTCTCACTACTTACGAGTACACAATTCGTGACAAAAATGAGCTTGGACAAATCAAATGGCAATTTCTTGCTGTTGATGAGGCTCACAGATTGAAAAATCCTGAATCAAATCTTACTCTTACCCTTTCAGAGTTCAAAATTGCCAATCGACTTCTCATCACTGGTACTCCTCTTCAAAACAACATTAAAGAACTTATCGCATTGATTACATTTTTAAAGGGAGGACAATCCAACAACGCTGCGTTTCAGGAGTTTGCAGAAATTGATCTGGAGCAAGATAAAGCAGATACTGGAAATCAAGAAGAACTCATCCGATCTTTGCATAAAAGTCTTCAGCCATTCATTTTACGTCGTCTGAAAAAAGATGTTGAAAAGTCACTTCCTTCAAAAACTGAACGTATTCTTCGTGTCGAGATGTCTGATATGCAAACCGAGTATTACCGCAACATCATTTCTCGAAACTTTCAAGCCCTTAATGCTGGTACCACTGGTGGTAACCAGATGAGTCTTTTAAACATTATGGTTGAGCTCAAAAAGGCTTCAAATCATCCTTATCTTTTCCCATTTGCTGAAGAGCGATATATTCAAAATAATGGTGATCTTAGGAACCGTGAAGTTATTTTGAAGGGCCTAATTATGAACAGTGGTAAAATGGTTTTGTTGGACAAGTTGCTCACTAGGCTAAAAAAGGATGGTCATAGAGTTTTAATTTTCAGTCAAATGGTCCGCATGCTTGATATTCTAGCCGATTATCTTTCTATTAAGGGTTATCAATATCAGCGCCTGGATGGTACAGTACAATCATATACAAGAAAGACACTCATTGATCATTTCAATGCTCCTGGAAGTCAAGATTTTGTTTTCTTGTTAAGTACTCGAGCAGGAGGTTTAGGTATCAACCTTATGACTGCTGACACTGTGATTTTATTTGATTCTGATTGGAATCCTCAGGCTGATTTACAGGCTATGGCTCGTGCTCATCGCATTGGACAGAAAAATCATGTTATGGTTTACCGATTTTTGTCTAAAGACACTGTTGAAGAAGAGATTTTGGAGCGTGCCAAGAGAAAAATGGTTTTGGAGTATGCCGTTATTTCTATGGGTGTTACATACCAAAAAAAGTCCAGTGATTCCGAAAAAGATGCTTCTTCTGCAGAGCTTTCTGCCATTCTTAAATTTGGTGCTGGTAACATGTTCAAAAACAACAATAACCAAAAGAAGCTGGAAGACATGAATCTTGACGACGTTCTTAATCACGCTGAAGATCATGTAAGTGCTGAAACTGAGCTTGCACAATCACATCTTGGCGGTGAGGATTTTCTCAAACAGTTTGAAGTTACGGACTACAAGGCTGATGTCAAGTGGGACGATATTATTCCTGCAGACGAGCTAGAGAAGATCAAAGCTGATGAAGAAAAACGCAAGAATGAAGAGTTTCTCAGTGAACAAATGACACTTTACGGCAAACGAAGAGCTGCTGTTAAAACTACTGGCCAACTCGTTGAGTCTGATATCGAAGACGAAGTTGAGGAGGATGAAACGGCTTCTCGTGGTAAGGCCAAAACTCGAAATGGTGGAAATTCTTCTACGAATAATGGAAGATCTAAAGAAGATACTGATTTGAATGTTCTCGCAGAGCGGGAAGTGCGACAATTATACAAGGTTCTTTTACGGTATGGCGATCTCTCTAAAATGTGGGATAAACTTTTTAGTGATGGTTCACTTCCAAACCGGAAACCTTCTTTAGTCAAAGAAGCTTATGCAGAGCTTATGAGGTTAAGCAAGGAAGAAGTTGATAAGGAGACATCACGTCGTCAAGAAGCAGCAGTTGCTGTTTCATCTGCAGGGCAATCTGGAGACAGCAGTATTCCCAATACACCTGTTTCGACAGCCAATGGCAATCAGTCAACAGTGCCCAACCACCTCATTCGCCGCAAGGAAAAGCGTGCCATATTGTTTGAGTATCGTGGTGTTAAGGGTATTAATGCTGAGCTGGTGTTGCAGCGTCCTGAAGACATGGATGCTATTCGCGAGTTTGTTCCCGATGAGAACACCAACTGGATCATTCCACGGATGCTTAAAGTGGTTCATGGTTGGTCTTGTGAATGGGGGCCTTCCGAGGACTCGCGTCTATTGATTGGCGTTAAAAAGTATGGTTATGGCGCCTGGACCAATATCCGTGACGATCCTGTGCTTGGAATGGGCGACAAGATGTTTTTGGAGGAGCATCGTGCGGAGAAAAAGCAGCAGCGTACTGAAGGTGGTGCTGTTGTCAAGGCTGCAGCCAAGGTTCCTGGCGCTGTTCATCTGGGTCGCCGTGTTGATTATCTGTTGACAGTTATTCGGGGAGAAAATGAAAATACAAACGTTTCTGTTGCCCGAAAACCCAAGCGCAAAGAGACACGCAGTGAAGAGGCTAATGGCGGATCTGGCCAAGATGGCGAGACCAATGGATATTACAGCTCGCCAGCCAACGGATATAATGGGTCGAGAGGTTCGACACCAGTAAATTCGCGGCCACAGTCCATGCGTGGTAGTGCAGGAGGAGGGGTTCGACGTGCGGGGTCTTTGCAAAGTCAAGGAAGCCCACGGGTATACGACAACCACGGTCAACAGCCATCGTCGCATCAAGACGATGGAGAAGATTCCGATGACAGTGTTGAGTACGAGAGCATGGATGAGCAGGAGTGTAAAGCCCAGTTACATCCGGTGCGACACAGTCTACGGAAGTTGAAAAAGGGGATGAATGGGCTGGAGAAGCAGGAGTTTTTGGATATGTTAAAACGGGAGATGGTAATTGTAGGAGACTTTATTGAAAAGAAGGTAAAGGAGGAAGAGGCGCGATCTGGGTCACCGGGCGCACGGAATCCGGATAAGTTGCGCAAGCATTTGTGGTCGTTTGCTGGATACTTTTGGCCACGCAAGGTTGCATCTGCGAAAATTATGGCCATGTATCAAAAAGTACGACGAGGAGCTAATCAAGGATCGAAATAGAAAAAAAAAAAAAAAAAAAAAAAAAAGAAGATTCATCATATTAAAAAAAAAAAAAATAAAAGAAAAAAAAAAATTAAAGCGTATATTAGATATATAAAATTAGGATTTTTGTCAAAAAAAAAAAAAAAATGCATTCTCTATTCTTCTCTTAAATTAAAAGGTTATGATTTTTATTTTTTACTAAAAGATTGAAAAGGAGTTTTTTTTTAAAAAAGTTTTATTATTTTTTTTTTTTTTACATTAAACAAAAATTATATAAATTTTTTTATTATCATTCATTAAACAAGTTCCAAATTTTTTTTTTTTAAATTTTTTTTTTTATTCTTTCATTCCTTTTTTCTCCATTTGATTATCAAAGGGTGAGGTTTTTTTTTGTTATTTAAATTTTTTTTTTCTTTCTTTTCTTTCCATATTCTTCATTAAAGTTGCATTAAAAAAAAACATCACTAAAGTCCTCTCTCAAAAAAACTTTAGGAAGCAACATAAAATGAACAACATAAAAAGAAATCCATAAAAAAAGCCATAAAACTCCCCCCCCTCTTTCTTCAAAAACATTTACGAACTCTCGTACTTCTCCCAGTTGTCCAAGACACTCTTAATCTTATCACTACCAGTAAGCTTGTAAACCTCCTCAAAGTACTCCTTTGTAATCTCAAAAGGCTTGGCAGTTAAGTTAGGAATGTACTTGTTGATAAGGTTGGCAGGCTTGACAGCATTCTGAGGAATCTTCTTAACAAGGAAACGTTGGAAGGGCTTAACACCACCACGGAGGTACGAAGAGTGGAAGGGGACAGAAATACCCTTAAGAGGAATGACGGCGAAACCACGCTCAAGGTCAATGGGCTGGGGCTTAGCCAACGACTTTTGGGCAACGTCTTCAACAATCTCAGTAAGATGCTCCTTGACCTTCTCAACAGAAAGCTGTTGCTGGAGCTTGACAATGTCAAGTTTCTGAATCTTAAGGAAGTTAAGAACGTTGGTCAGGGTGTCAAGGGCACGAAGATCACCAGCAGCAACGTATTGAGTATTTTCGACATTGTAGTTGACAATTTCTAACAGCCACTTAGTCTGTTGAGAAATGTGGTCAACGACAAATCGTAAAGCAGCATCGTCGAATGTGGGTGAGATTCTCGAAGGGTTGACAGCGCACATACCGTAGTTGGAACGACCCAGGCTATCTCTAGGAACAGCAACCTGCATAGTCATACCTCTGTAGAAAACAACCTCGACCAAACTCTCAATAGGCATAACGTCACCGAGAGAAGCCAGGGCAGAGTATTCACCGAGGGAATGACCAGCAAAGGAAGAGTTGGCGGCAACAAGACCCTTGGACTTCATGTCCTCGAAAGAAGCCTTCTCCATGAGGGTAAGAGCGGGCTGAGTGAACTGGGTGGCTGACAGCAAACCAGTGGGAGACTTGAATGTGTAAAAGTCAGTAGTCTCGGTAATATCCTTAAAGATCTTTTCAGACTTGATCTGACCATTCTCATCAATAGACTCAAACATCATGGAAATGTAGTTCTCACGGATGGCGTTACCACGGGGGCCACCAAAGTGGACAGTAAGCTCCTTGGGATTGTTCTTGACAATGTCAACAATAGAGAAACCGTAGTTGTTGACAAAATGGTTGTCAGCACGATCCCAGACTTCACGAGCGACAGGAGAAGACTCGTAAAGGTCCATACCCATGCCTTGTTCCTGGGAACCTTGACCAGTAAAGACATAAGAAGAGTTGGGCTGCTCAACCTCAGCCTCACCAGTGAGGACAGGGGATTGGGTCTCGACATTAATGCACTCAACCTTGACAATCTTACGGCCGTTAATCATACCAACGTGCTCAAGCTTGACTTGGATATCGTCGTTAGGGAGAACCATGCCGACAAATGAGCACTTGAAGGCACGGACACGAGCGGCATTGTTCTCAGCAGCCCAAACTTCCACCAGGGAGCGGACAGCAGCAGAGGAGTACATTCCGTGGGTGATGGTACCAGGAAGGTTGGCATACTTGGAAAAGATGCGAGAAACGTGGATAGGGTTGTAATCACCAGAAACGTTAGCGTAGGGCTCGTTAGAAGCAGGAGATCTCAAAACAAGCTCAGTGCCACCGTTAAGAGGAATGGCATTCTCAAAGTAAACAGGAAGCTCAATGGTCTTGCCGTTACGCTGGAGGTAGTCAATGACAGGGTTGCCGTGAGACTCACCGGCTTCATACTCGACAGTGGCAATCTGGATAATCTCCTTGGAAGGAAGTTCCAAAAGAACCTGGCCAGTAGTCTCAACAGAAGAGAAGACAGTGTTGTTCTTGTACTTGACAAAGGACTCAGTTCTGAAGGTAAGGGTCTGGCCAAGAAGCTCAATGTCAGTGTTATCAAGCTGGAACCACTCCTTGGAGCAAAGGACAGCAACGTCCTTAGGAGTCTGGAGGCTAATCTGGATGGGGGCCTCGCTCTTGCGCTCAAAGGTGTTCTCAAAGTCATTGTAGTCGCCACGGTAAAAGAACTCAGAGGTGACCTCCATGACGGGCTTGCCCTCACGGGAAATAACACCAGTAACACTGACAACCTTGCCAGTTTCTTGGTTAACAACAGACTTGAGAATAGCCTTGGAGATAACGTTATCACCTTCCTTCAAGGGCTCAGCACCAGGAATCATGTTAAAGCTGTTGGAAAGGTGGACAAGCTTGAGAATATCACCGTCAATGACCTTGGGGAAAATGGCCTTGATGATGGCCTTCCAGCCAGCAACAATGGCAAAGTCCATAGGAGCCAAGGTGGTCTTGCTAGGGCGAGAAACATAAGCCTCACCATTGTTGCCAACAGCGTGGACAAAGTCAGCAATAGCCTTGACATCGACAACAGTGTTGTCACCAGGGATGGGCTTGGTGACATCAATGTTCAAGTCAATAGACTCCTTGGAGCCAAACCAAACACGCCAGTAAAAGTTCTTGATGCGAGTGTTGCGGTCAGCCATAACCTCAGCAATAGGGGCAAAGCCAAACTCGGGTCTGTAGTTGTAAAGAAGCTCCAAAGCAACAGGGGCGCGCTCAAAAGTGCGCTCCTCAATAAGCTCAACCTTGATGGTGCCAGAAGCAGTCTTGGAGATAGTAATGACATTAGTGCGCTTGCCATGAATAAGCTCAGAAACAGTGACAGTGAGCTTATCAGAGTCAGCATTGGCAATGTCAACATTGAGACCCTGAACAGGAGTAAAGAGCTGACGGATCTGGTTGGGTCTATGCTTAGTGTCCTGGACAATAATGTCAGTGGTCAAAAGAGCCTTGAACCAGCCAGCCTTGTCGGCAACGATAAGATCAATCCACTCGTTAATGGAGGGGAGAGAAGACTCATTAGAAGAAATCTTGTAAGAGATAGAAGAACCCTGGCGAGAAACAAGAATGTTGGAACCAACCTGGGCTTCGATATCAGCGCTAGGCTGGGAAGCAGGAAGGCCAAAAGCTTCAGTGGTGGGGATCTTCTTCTTGTCATTGCCATAAATGTCCTTAAGGAGAGACTCAATAAGACCATTGTGGACACCATCAAGAATATCCTTAACAGGGACATCCTTTTCTGTAGACCATCTGACAGCAACAGGACCCTGGAGAATACAGGTACGGCCAACATCCTCGCCAACAATGGCAGCCAAGTCCTCTGATTGCCAAAGAGAATCCTTCTTAAAGTAAAACTCAAAGTTATCGTCCAAGACAGGAACGAAGGGGACGGGCTTTTGAGTAGGTCTGCGACAGAGAATCAAAAAGTGGTCCTTATCCTGAGCATTAATGAGTTGCTTGGTAGAAGCAGGGTACTTGGCAAACAAAGAGTCAAGGAGCTTGAAGGGCTCCTCGAGCTGGGACAAGCTCTGTAGAACAGCCTGTTGACCAGCCTGGTGAGTGAAACGCTCTTCGAGACGTCTAATGACATCACCAGTAAAGTTTCTAAGAGAAACATCAATCCATCTAGACTCCTTCTTGACATAACAAAGCTCAACACAGCGGGAAACAACCTCAGCATAAGTCATGTCTTCAAGATCGACAGTATTACCCTCAGCATTGCGGCCAAACCAAGTCTTTTGGAAATCATCATTGAGGCGCTTGATAATGTAAGCACGCTTAGACTTCAAAGCTTCAAGACGCTTAGGCTTAGGGAGGTTGAAAATAGTATTGTCAAGCTCGTGCCAGAACAAAACACCGCGGGTAGCAAGCTTGTGGATGGGTTCACCCATTTCAGAGTTGACAGTAATGACACCACCAGTAGGGACCTTGTAAGTTCTCTCCCAGTCCTTGTCTTCGACACCAGGAGCGTCAACAATGGCAGTCTTAGCGTCAGGAGAAGTGAAAGCCTCCTTAGCAACCATGACACGAGAGCCAAACAAAACACCATCAAATGGCATGGGAGGATAGTGGTAAGCAGTAGACCACTCACCAGTAAAGTAGGGGTAAGTGTCAGTATGGGAACCAAAACCAGAGCCAGCAACGAGAATGATGTTAGACTGTCTTCTAATACGAGCATAAGTTTGCAAGATGGGGGCATGGAAGTCCTCAAAGGAGTGGTGACCACCACCACGGCCACCAGTCCATTGCAAAACAACGGGGAAAGTAGGGTTAGCAGCAGCAATAGAAATAACAGTATTGATAGCTTCAGTGGAACCAGGCTTGAAGGCAACGTGCTTAAGACCCAAATCACGAATGTACTCATTGGCAACATCCAAAGAGGGGACACCGGCACCAATGGTAAGACCCTCGACAGGGTAGCCCTTTTCACGAAGAGTCTTAATAAGAGGAATACCCCAATTCATCATGAAAGGGTTGACATAGATAAGGTTGATGGTGATGCCGACACCAGGAGAGGTGGTCTTCTCAACCTTCTCAATAGCCTCGGTCATAATCGTGGGGTGGAAGTAACCGCCACCAGCCAATTCAATGTGGTAACCGGCATTCAAGGTGGAAGCAACAAATTCCGGATGGATGGTGGTGGGTGTCATACCAGGAACCATGATAGGGGGTCTACCCAAGAGTCTACTGAACTTTGTGTCAACAAAGACAGTATTGTTAGAAGCCGAGACAAGCTTAGGAGAAAACTCCTTAACCCAGTCAATGGCAAACTTGACAGATCTGCTATCACGGTCGAAAAGTTCTTGCTTATAGCCATACTCTTCATTGTTAAGGGAGCCATCAAGAACACCGCCGAGGATGATGCGAACACCGGTACCCTCCTTATTCTTGTGAGTAAGGGGGCCAAGGCCGGAAACACCACCGGGGCCAAAGTCGACAATGTGGGTGGAGGTGAACTTAGTGGCAACTTCCCAGTTGACAGGGTAGAAGTTAATAAGCTCAATGACTCTGGAGATAATGTCTTCAGAAGAGTCGCGGAGATCAGAGCCGTCAAAAGTATCAAAAACAGGAATCTTGATATTCTTGGATTGGTAATTGACCTTGGCATCCTTGAGAGCTTCAAGAACCAAAGGAGTGGCATCCTTCAAAAGATGAGAGTGGAAGGGGGAAGTAATGGGGAGGAACTTGTTGGTGATGCGAAGCTTTCTCTGGGAGTGGGGGACACGGGATTGGTTAAGGCCAGAGGGAGCCTTTGCCTTTCTGAGAGCAAGGTTAAGACCGTAAAGGGATTGAGGAGGGCCAGTGACGACCATATTTCTGGCACCATTGACGAGAGAAATGCCAATGTGTTTTTCCTTGGGGAGATGCTTGTTTGTGTCCTTGATAAAAGACTCGAGCTGAGAGCGGGAAAGATCACGGACAGAAAGCATAGGAGAAGGCTTACCCTCACCCTCGGCAACACTGTCTTCGAGGATAGTAGGTGTCAAGGAAGTGATTGGGTAGAAACGCTGGGCGTAAAAGCCAATGTAGAAGAGAATAGTGATAGCCTTGAGAGCCTCTTCTTCAAAGGATTCCCAAGATTCGGAAGAGCCAATAGCAAGGGCAGAAATGAGACCTTGAGAGTGACCAGTGGCACCAGAAAAGTATTTTCTAAGTTCACCAGGAGTCTTGCCAAGAACCTTTGAAGTGATGGCAAAGTGGGCAAGTTGGATGATACCAATGATTGGGACTGAAACAGGGGCAAAGACGAGGTAGTCGACATCTGGGGTTGATTCTGGAGACTTGAGCCACTTCATAATGTCGAAACCATTTGTGTAGATCTTCTTGGCGTCTTCGTGGGTTCTAAAGAGAGAGAGAATCTTGTCAGCAAGGAGCTGAATAAAGTCAGAGACAAGGTCACCATAGACGGAGTAAATCTCGACAAGTTCTTGGAAATAATCTTCCGAATTGCCCTGGCCACCAAAGATAGCGTAGATGGAGGCTTGGCCATCTTCAATGGCTCTAAAGAGAGCAGACTCGTGAGATTTTATTGGGCGGTTAGCGGCGAGTCTTGCAGCATAGTATGATCTAACGACATTCTTGACTTTAGCGGTGGTTGTGTTTGAATCTGGAGAGGCTTGAAGGGCAGTTGCGACTGCGTGAACATTGTTACCGCGAAGGAATCTAGTTTCAAACTCGGTGAGGACGAGAGAAAGAACTTCATCGTATGGTCCAGGTTCTTCGACGACGGTAGAAGCTACAAAGCCGAGGAAAGCAGCAAGAAGTTCTGTAGAAGAAGCGGGTTCGTCATCTCCGACAAAGTCTTCTGTTGGTGTAGGGAGAGTTGTGTAGAATTGGTCTCTGATCTGAGTAAAGTTAAGATACAGGGCGGTAGGAACGAGAAGGGTGTGTTCGATTGAGCCATGGGCGAGATTGAAAGGTCTCAACGAAGCAGCCGAGTGAGGGGTAGAAACGCCAGTGACTGGTTGCATTTTTTTTTTTTTTGAATTGAATTGAATTTAGGGATTTGCTAATGAGAAGGGAGGGAAAGAGTTAGTATTGGATCCGGATTAATTAAGTTTTTGATAATAATGATTTAAAAAAGATCTACCTAAATTTTCAATAAAAAAAATAGGTAATTATAAATGGGAAAAAAAAAAGACCTGAGAAATGAATCAAATTTATTAAAAAGTTGAAAAAATCTGGTTTGATTGGAAGAAAGAAAAAAAAGGATTTGTTGTCAGTAAAAAAAAAAAAAAAAAAAGTGTATATATGTTATATATAATTTTTTTATTTATTTTTTTTTTTTTTTGGTGGTGAACGACTATCCCCAACAAGATTTCTTTAATACAAAAAAAAAAAAACCTTGTATGTAACAACAAAAAACACACAACCAACAAAAATATTATAGGAGTTCAAAGTAAAGTGGCTGAACTTAAGCAGAAATATAAAATGAAAAAAAAAAAAAAAAAAAAATACTTACGATTCAAAATAAAAGGGGACTGGTGGTCAATTGAAAAGATGATGTATTAAAAGATGGAATAGTGTTTTTATATATAAATGGTATAATGGAAATTTGGATATATATAAATTAGGGGTTGTTTATTATATATATATAAGAAAAAAAAAACAATCAATATTTTAAGAGTTTGAGAGAGAGAGAGAGAAAATATTGAAAGATTGGATTTAATATATATATATATAAATAAATGAATTAGTATATTTATATATATTCACAAGTTCTTTTTTTTTAAAAAAAAAAAAATCAAGAATTAGAAGAAAGGAAGAAAGGAAGAAAAATTTGAAAAGAATTTTGGTAAAAGAAAGAAAAAAAAAAAAGTGGGAATCCGTTGAGATTTATATATTTCCATATAAATATATAAATATATAGAATATAATTAAAATATAAAAAAAAAAAAAGTTTTGGTGGTGGTTGGGAAACTTTTTTTTTTCTCAACAAAAAAAAAATATATGTCCCATTATTAGCTTAAAAAAGAAATAAAAAAAAACTTTTGTGGGCCTTTTTTGTTTTTTTTTTTATTTAATTTTTATTTAATTATTTTATTTATTTTATTTATTTTATTAAAAATTCAACAATCAACAAATATCTACATTTTATAAATTGATAATGATGATGATAATGATGATCTTATTAAATTTTCTGATGTTAGAATACTGAACAATTAGATTTATCTAAAAAGAATCTAAAAGTATCAATTATATATATATATATATACTAGAACCATGATGGGGTCTTATCAATTGCAAAATTGTATTTGTTATATATAAAAGACAAAAAGATTAAAAAAATTATTATTATTATTATTATTATTATTATTATTATGATTATTATGATTATTATCAATAGATAGAATATTTAAAAAAAAAAAAAAAAAGGATTGTAGTAGATTTATAGATTGAAATCAATTCAATCTTTAATAGCAATAGCTGTTGTTATCAGTTATTATTATTTTTATTATTTTTATTATCACCAACAATTCAAAAATTTGTTTTTTTTTTTTACTTTCTTTGCTTTGAAACTTTAAAATCTCGGAACATTTTTTTATTCTTCTTCTTCTTCTTCTTCTTCTTCTTCTTCTTCTTCTTCTTCTTCTTAGGACTAATTGATTGGAATTACGGACTCATGGAAAGTCAATTTTTTTTTTCCAAATCTTTAAATCTTTTAAATTTTATATAAATATATATATATATATATAAAGACTTATATTTTAATTGTCTTAAAAGCCCACCAACAAACAAACATACAAATATTTTTATTATATTTTTATTATATTTTTATTATCATAATCCATTCAGCCGCACTTCCAATCTTTCCCGAAATTTTCACCAAAAACTTTCATTCATCTTTTCGTCACACACACACACACACACACACACAAAATGGGCCTTAAAAAAAAGGGTTAGAAAAAAAAAAAAAAAGTTGGTGGTGGTAGTACTGTTTTTTTTTTTATTTTTTTATTTTTTTATTTTTTTATATTTTTTTATATTTTTTTATATTTTTTTATATTTTCTTAGTTTAATTTCATATTAAAAAGATCAATCAAATGCCGATCTGAATAAACAATTAAAAATTCCAAAATATTTGTTTATTTGTAATTTATATAATGATTGGTAACTCAATCATTCTGTTAAAAAAAAAAAAAAAAAAAAACCCTTCCATGCTTCTCGACTCTAATGGTTATCTGGTTGACTGTCCTGTTTATTTGTTTGACATCAATCAATCTTAGTTAATTAGTTAGTTTGTTAATATTTGTTAATATTTGTTAATATTTGTTAATATTTGTTAATATTTGTTAATATTTGTTAATATTTGTTAATATTTGTTAGTATTTGTTATATATAGTTTGTAGGCATCTTATTTTTTTATTTTTTTATTTTTCCCAACATCCGGGTAACTCTTTTATTTTTTAATTTTTTTTAATTTTTTTTAATTTTTTTTAATTTTTTTTTATTTTTTTTAAAAGACCCAACGCTTTTTTCTGTTTGTGGTTTCATTTACATACACGCCGTGCAATTATTCTTACATCATTCATTATGTCAGCATAACTTTCTTTCTTTCTTTTTTTTCTTTTTACCCAGCCACCCCAATTCCCGAACTTTAATGCACGGACGAAACCGGCCCTTTTTTTTTTTTTTTTTGATTTATATATATATATATATAAATATATATAAAAACCTAACCCTTTTGATGGGCTATTTATCCATCACCAACAACAACTACCAACAACCAACAAGCTCTCCACCAATCATAGTGCTCTGCTTTCTAAAATATTTGTTTTGCCCAGGATCCGCCAAAATGTAACAAACAAACTAATATATACATCATGTTGGGTTGTCATCAAACAATCAAACAATCAAACATATTTTACTCTTAATGATTATTGTTGATTATTATAATAATAATAATAATAATAATAATAATAAAAACTAACATCATCAATCGTAAGATTTAACTAAAAGCTATTTGTAATTTTTTTTTTTTAAAGAAATAGATGAAATATAAAAAAAAAAAAACACCTCAGTCACTTTTTCACAGCATTAATAATTGTTATAACCAAATTTCTTAAAATTCACATTTGTTGGGCGCAATGAATTCTTCCTTTCTTCTTCTTCTTCTTTCTTCTTCTTTTTATTTTTTTATTTTTTCAAAAGAATATTATCATTCTCTGTGTTTTCGTCCATCAATAACCCCATTTGGTCTTTTTAAGAAAGGAAAAATAAAATGCTTGCCAAACTTCAGGGGGGCAAAACTGTCAACCAACAAATACCTTTGGACTTTAATAATAATAATAATAATAATAATAATAATAACATAATTATGTTACGTAGTTTATTACTATATAGCTCTTAAGATATCATCCAATGGATTATTCATGAACATTGATGGAATTGATGGATTGATGGATTGATTGAATCATTAAAAAAAAAAACTCTTTCCATCAAAACAATACAAAGTGTTGTTGTTGTTGTTGTTGTTGTTGTTCTCTTGCTAACCCAACAATAACCGGTTATTCATGTGTATTCCGGGAAAACATATCGCCAATACTTGTGTTGTATCACCTTTCCCTCCCCCCCAAAAAAAAAAAAAAAAAAAAAAAAAAACGTGTGTCTCTTTATAATTTGGGTCTTTGCGGCTTTTCAAACTACAAGTTTAATAGTGATGAACATTAAATGCGGCTGTCTTAATAATAATAATAAAAAAAAAAAAAAATATATATATATATATATATATATATGTACACGTGACCATACTTTATTACTATTAATGGCAACATATAAACAGCCAACCAACCAACACTTTTTTTTTTTTTATAAACAATTATTTATATAGATTTTTGTTTAAACAAAATCTTTATTAAATAATAAATAAGAATAAAAATAAATATCTTAAATAGTTAGTATAATAGTTTTTTTTTTTAATTTTTAATTCTAAATTCTAAATTTTAAATTTTAAATTTTAAATTTTAAATTTTAATTATTAATGAATACTACTTGTGTTTGGTGTTGTTTAACAAAAATAAACAAAGAATATTGATATATTTATATACTTCTTATCTTAATATCAAAGCTTATGTGGAATAGCTATCAGTCTACTACATTTAAAAAATATGTGACCCCCATATCTATTAAAATTGTCGTTTTTACTGAATAAAATTTGGTGATTAATATCTAAAATATCTAAAAAAAAACACACTCACACAAGTATATACGCAATATATAACGATAGCTTTAAACTGCTATTACTAGAATTATTCTATTTTGACAGATAAACTAAAAAAAAAAAAAAAAGAAAGAAAGAAAAAATTGCAACCAACTTATATAATCTATTCTGTTTCAATTAAAATATATACACAAACATGGATAAATAAATGTCTTTTTCCAATATTTCCATATAATCTCTTAGCTTATAATAATAAAATCAATTAACTCACCGCGGAAATTGCTTCCTTCCGAGGTAAATTACTCCTTCTTTATATATATATATATATATATTTATTTATCATAAAGCAACTAACTAACTAACTAACTAAATGAACTTCTTATATCAATTTAAAAAAAAACTTTTCTAATCTAAGCTGTTAATTATCTAAAAAAAAAATCAACCACAATATAGCTGAACTTTTCCTATTTGTGATTTCTTAGCTTCTCAAGCTCTATCTCAATCTTTTTTTTTCTTTTTTTGAAAAACTATAATAGTATACTAATTAATTTAACGTTCCACTAACATTAACAATAACTTGGTATGAATCATAGCCACATGTTATCATCTCTTACTTCTTTTCATTTTATCTTAAGACTGTTAAATACTAATACACAAGAAAAATATATATATATATATATATATATATATATATATAATAGCAATTGCCTTTCCCAGCCTAAAAAAGTGTACAACTCAACTACAAGTGTTATTACCTCCACTTCATTTTATCATGATTTATTGATTAATTCTTCTATGACTTTCTAAAACCTCCCATTCCCCTTCCCCAATATGATTTTTTCTTTTCAAAAAAAAAAAAAAAAAAAAAAAAAAAATTATTTTTACTGACTTTACTAGATCAATGTTGAATACATAATATTGGAGTTTCAAGAAACTAATTTTTTTTTTTTTTTTCAATTTTGAAGAGTTTTTTTTTTTATGATCCTGTTGAGGCAATCTAATCAAATCAAATCAAATCAAATCTTTGGATGTGAAATCATTTCCCCAACTTTCAAAAAATAACTGACGAATTACCCTTCAAAATTTGATTTTTCAACTTAAACTCCCTAAGCTTATAAATATTATTATATTCCTATTCTAATACCATGGATACTCTTTTTTTCTCTTTTAATACTTGATTAATATTACCTATCTGAAATTCTTTAAATATATACCTACTGTAAACTATATATATATATATATATATATATATATATATCACATATTCTCCAAATACATCTTCTCTAAAATCAGAGTTAACTCATCAACCTCCGGTGTAGTTGTTGTCAACGAAGAAGACTTTTCTACCTTTTTGTTTTTGAAAAACTCGCAATCAACGTCTGATACAAGACCCCGTTTTTTTACGTCAGAACAAAACCGGCCCCAAGTTGAATCCGATCTTAACGTCTGCTCATGTCCAACTACCCATAAAGAACTCTTGGCCCGTGTCATGGCTACATTCATTCGCCGTCTATCTCCTAAAAACCCAACACTTTTTCTCTCGCTTTGCCCGCTTTTCTGCCCATTAAAACTGCCAAATGCTCGCACACATGAAAAAATAATGATTTCCTTTTCTTGACCTTGAAACCCATCTATTGTCGTAAACTCAATCTCATCCAATACTGAATCTCCATATTCCATACTAAACTTCTTGCGAAGCTGAAACATTTGCTCCCGATATGGCGCAACTATCCCAATCTTCCCTGCAATATTCTCCCTTCCCAATTCTTTCCCTAATAACGTGTACAATTCAAAAACAAACATTACCTCATCTTTATTATACAATGATGGGGTTCTCTCCGATTTTTCATGCACCCCATTGTGCAAATTAAAAAACTGAAGCGGCCCAAGTAATGTTTTGCTTCCACTAAACTCTTGACCCGTAAAATTCCAGTTGTGCCAAACACTCTTAGTCAATACATTCATGTTGGGACCATCCATCACTTGACCATTGTAAAACTCCTCACTTGGGAACTGTGAAATTTCAGGGTGCATTCGGTACTGTGTGTTAAGTAAAAATACTGCCCGTTTGCCTACCCTTCCACTACCAACACACTCCAATTCCAAATCAGATCCATACTCGTCATTATCTTGATCCTCACTTAATACAGGATTTGAATGAACCTGGTTTTTCTTTTCAAAAAATCGTACAAATAATGACCGGTCATACCCATTGCTTAATGCAATCTTAGAAATCACCGTGGGGGGTAATTGCTTTGGATCCCCAACCATGATGCATTGCTCGCACCCAAACTGAAATGGAACTAAAGAAGTTGGCTCTGCAGATTGCGCAGCTTCATCAATAATAACAAGCGGGAAGCTCACTTCGGCTGAAACAATATTTCGCTGACCTGATCCGCTCAATGTCGAACACACAATGTTAGAGTTTTGTAAAACCTCTTTAGTCTTGAGCTTTTTGAGTATTCCACATTTTTCCATAATTTGTTCTAGCGAATTAAAAACATGATTATATTTGGAGCGTCCCTCTTCTAAAGAAGAAATCTTTGCTGTGTTTCGATCAATATTTGTTCTTTTTGATTCAATTTTAAGTTGTGACGAGTTTTCGTCTTCTGAATTGTAATACTCCCTGTCCTCTAAATCCATCATTTGTTTAACATTTTTAATTTCTGTTTCAATTTCTTTGTTTCTTTCTCTCAACCTCTCAACTTCATTCATCACTAACAGATACTGCGACTGTATTTCAGAGTAGAATTTTTGAATAACTGACTCCTGACACCACCCCAACTGCTTTTTCACAATGTTTTCCAAGGAGTAATCCTTAATATTTTGTTTCATAGATGTTGAACGACCAACTCGCACAACCCTTGGATATATATTTTTGTCCTTCTCTTTCTCCATTTGCAAATTTAATCCAAGCATACCAGTAACCACGCGATATAATACCTCGTCAACAGCCTTGTTAGAAGGCGTGCAAATCAAAATGCGCCGAATCGGAGGCTCAATCGCTATTTCCGTTTCAAGACGCAAGATTTCATTATCAAGAAATTCAGAAATCTCATCAATGTGGTTATGAATAGCTTCAATTATATCTTCATTCACTTTGCACTCCAAAATATAGTCCGTCAATTTTTCTTGCTCCACCCTTAAGCCTCGGATAGGTTGATACTTTTCAGGAAGTTTCTGACCCATAATAAGAGGTGGGAATTTTGAAATCTGAGAGTATGATAAGAGAGCACCCATCATAGCCACAATAGTTTTTGTTTTTCCAGTTCCTGGAGGACTAATTTTGTTAGTAAAATAAAATAAAATGAAAAAAAATAAAATAAAAAGTTGACCTTTATACATACCCTTGAATTAACGAAACACCCTTTACACGCAAAATCCCAGAAATGGCCTCAGCTTGAGACTGATTAAGGCCATGCTCCTGTTGAGCCAATCTAATAAATTCTTTGGAATTGGGATCATTTTCCCAATTTTCGGAAATAACTGAAGGAATACCCTTCAAAATCTGATTTTTCAACTTGAATTCCCCAAGCTTATGAATCGCATTATATTCCCGTTCAACAGGTATCAACCTATTCCATTTTTTGTTAATTAAAAATATTAACTGTTTAAATTTTGGATTTTAACTCACGTTGTCAATTTAATTGCATTCCATGTTCTTATTGGATTTGGGAAGACCTCAAAGTCTTCAAAAGGCAGATTGATATTCAAGCACAGTTTGATCTGTGTTTTTGACGAGTATATAACTTTGGAAACAATAGCTAATGCATAATCATACTTGTATTTTAACTTTACAAACTGATTTCGAAATTTAATCTTATCGTAAAATGTAACTAATAACACATCTGAAGCTGCTATTTCAAAATTCTCAAAATCATCACTACTCATTACCACAGTCACTTGCTGGTGTTTACTTATTGCTGTTTTTGGAGTTGAAATATACTTATCTTCATAGGGTGTGATTGTAAAATAGTCATCGTCACGCAACTGAAACCTAGATTTTGAAACCCCAGCCCAAGTCTCTAATCGTAAAAGAGGCTGAAAGGCTTTTAGGTAATCAGGCACAGAGTTGAATGAATCTTGTAAAGGTTTGCATAGCTTGAGTGTTGAAAAGGAGTTGGGTTCTGGTTGTTGTTGCTTTTTGCGGAACTCTGGAGATATATTTTCAGGACTATCTTTGGTACAGAAATAATCCCAGTTGAGTACTTCGTCATAAATCTCTTTGGTGAACTCGGACATTTAAGAAGAAAGTAAGCAAAGCAAAAAAAATAAAAAAAATAAAAAGGTAAAACCGAACTGCTAGTATATATAAATATATGTATAAAAGAAAGAAAGAAAGAAAGAAGGAAAGGAAAGGGAAGAAATGAGGAATTTAAAAGCTTTATATATTTTGTTATATTTAAATTTAAATTCACCTCATCCATCAATTTTTTTTGCCGCAGATGGAAAAAAAAAAGGAAAAAACTGTCAATGATCAATTCCATAAAAGATAGCAAGTTCAACAAAATCAATGATGAATAATAATCTCGGAGTTATTATTTTTTTTATAAAAAAAATGCTTTCAATATCTTTTATTAAGCTTTAGGGGGGAATACAAATATTTTTTTGGCAGTATATATGTGAAAAGTTTAAAACACCACATCATGCAGTGAATATCTTTCCTTTTTAAGGATTTTTTTTAAAACACAATTGTTTCCTGTAAACGGTCAAAATGGCAATATAATTCCGTGTTTTTGTCTTTTCCTTTTTGTTCTTCAATCCCAGTTTTTTCTTCTTCATTTTCTTCATTTATCCATTTGAAACTTAAATCTCCCTCAACACGAAAAACATACCCCCGGGATCGTGCACTATTGTAGAGCCGGGCCCAGGTCGGATGACTTCGTAGTGTATTGAAATTTCCAATGACCCATAATGAGCACTTTGCTCTTGTCAAGGCCACATTCATTCTTTGCAAGTCTTGTAAAAATCCAACATTCTTGTCCTCAACATCATCCTTATATGCGCGCACACAGGATAAGATAATGATATCTTTTTCTTGACCTTGAAATCCATCAACAGTGTTGAATGTAACAAATTCAAGACTTTTTTCACCAAACTTTTTAATAAATTTTTTTTCTAACATTTCAGCTTGTCGTTTGTAGGTAGAAATAATTCCAATTGAATCTTTTTCTTTTTTCTTTATTCGAAAGCAATTATCAAATAGTATTTTTCTCAGCAACTCAAATAACTTTCCAACTAGCTCCATTTCAAACTCATTGTAGAGTGACATGGTTTTTAGATGCTTTTTATGATGACTTTTATCCATATCAAACAAACACAGTGGTCCAAATGCTTTGGAGTCCTTCCCATGCCATTTCCGATAAGTTTTTTCATAAACTTTAGCTCCATTTTTAATATTCCCATTGTAAAATTGCTGGTTGGGAAAATTCAAAATTTCCGGGTGCATACGGAACTGAGTATCCAAAACCATCACACTTTTTGAGGCATTCATATATATCCGTTCAAAAAGAGATCTCCCGTAGCCTAGCCCAAATGCCACTGGCGATAATACTGTAGGTGGAAGTTGCTTAGGGTCCCCCACAAGTACAAGACGCTTACAATTGTAAAGGAGCGGGATTAAAGTGGATGCTTCAACAGCTTGAGCAGCTTCGTCAATGATGACAGTTTTAAAGTCTATTTTCTGAGCGGAAACTAAAAACTGGCCAGCTCCAGAAAGAGTTGTGCAAAGAATGCAGCAATCTTTAATTGCTTTTCTTGACTTCCAATTCCGTTGTGAATTATAATTATCAATGTGTCTATGACACTCACTCAGTTTACGTTTAATGCTGAGTAGTTTGTTTTGTATTTCTTTAGCTTCATTTTTAAGTTTTTCATTTTTCTTTCGCGTCTCTTTTAAAAAATTCAATTGTTTGTTAATTGCCTCAAGTTGTATTTGAGACTCTTCTAGAGATTCATATAAACTACGGCGTTGTTTTAAATAAAAATCAATTTTATGAAATTCCAATTCTTTTTCGTTAATGGCAGTCAGTGTAACGTCATGGATATTCACATTTACAGATTCTTTTTTACCCAAACGCAACACCTTTGGTTTAATAACTAGGCCTCCATATCCATCAATGCCATCTTTAAGTCGCAATACTATCTCATCGACTGCTGCATTTGAAGGGGCACAGACCAAGATTTTATAGTTGTCGGGAACTGGTTTGTTTGGTTGAGATAGCAGTGAACCAATTAAGGAAATAATAGTTTTGGTTTTCCCTGTTCCTGGTGGTCTTTAACAAGTTAGAAAAGAAAAAAAAAAATAAGCATAGTATCAAAGTTTTTGGCATACCCTTGAATAAGTGTCAATGAATTATTTTGACTGGAAATTACAGCTTGTGCCTGAGATTGATTTATGCCAAATGATTCAATAGTATACTGCAATAATTGGTTATCATTTTTAGCCGAGTTAATTGTTTTCACTGTTCCTTTGAGAATGTGATTTCGCATAACCATTTTTGGCAAGTTCATTACAGCCGTATATTCTCTTTGAAAGCTAATCAAGTTGCTAAAACCTTGTTTAGTAAATTTATCGTTTTATTTTTTTTTTTTTTTTTTTTTTGATCGCTTTTTATTCCTCACCTCGACACTCTAATTCCTTGCAGCTTGGCTCCTTCAAAAAAACCTAGCTCATGTAACGGAATCATCTTGACTTTGAGAGTTACATCATGGTTGCCTTTAAACCGGACATTAACAATATGTGCAAATACGTGTGGGGTCTTTGGGTCCGGAAATATAGTAGCAGCTGTAGTTTCTTTTTTCTCAGGCATTTGTGAAAGCAAAATCAAGTCATTACAAAATGCAGCACTTTTTACAAACTCAAGTTTAGAAACCGTAACAAATACGTCGGATACACGTCCCTGTAACTGGTGTTTCCTTTTTCTTCCATATTGAGGATTGTATGAATCGATATAGTCAAAGGTTTTTAATAGTGTGCACGTGAAGGGTACTGGTGATGGGGTATCTTCGTCTGAAGGAGATTTGATGGCATGCCAGCATTCAAGTAATACCATGTTGGTAAATACTTGAATGTACTCAGCAGCGGTTTTAAACGTTGTAGGAACGGGTTGGTTATAGTTTCTTGTTTGTTTTTTGAGAGACGGGATATATTGAGGAAAATTCATCGATGCATGATAATCCCATCGCAAGACTTCATCGTAGAATAAGTTAGCCATGATAAAAAAAAAATTAGTTGTGAATTGATTATATGTATATAAAAAAGAAGTAAAAAGAATCTTATATACTTTACAAAACAATCAAAGAGTACAACCAGGTTGAGGTCGTGACAAGGGTGAGGCATGCGGCTCATAATCTAATCTTGATAATCAGCTATTTCAAGACCTTTATGCAGCATAAACAGTGAATCTTTTCAGTTCTGCTAATAAATTTCCTACACCATTTCTCTTTTAATTTCTCTTTTAATTTCTTTTTCAATTTCTTTTTCAATTCACAGCACCCATCGTGCCTGTGTCATGGCCACATTGGCTCGTTGCTCATTATCCAAAAACCTAATTGTGTGGTTTTCGCCATCTTTTTTATGGGTATGCCCTCACGCATGATAAAATAAACGCATCCTTTTTTTTTGTCCTTAAAACCCGTCTAAAGTGTTAAAAGAAACCATTTGTAAAACGTGTTCCCCCGACGTGTAAACAAAAGTGGCTCTCAGTCACTCGACTTGTTCCTTGTAAAATGAGATGATACTGACAAATGATATACTTGGATTATGGTGAAGAGATGTAACACAAATTCAATTTCTTGTTCCTTCGCGATTCTTTGTGCACGCCCGACACCAAGTCAAAGAGGCAATAAGGTTTATACTTGAGATCTTTTAATGTTCTATCTTTTTCATTGATTCCGTTTTGAATTTGCCCGTTATAAAACCTTTCATTAAGGGAATATGAAATTGAAGAATTCATTAGAAATTGTATATTTAGCATCTCAATACAATTTGAGCTGGTTTCTTGTATTTTATGAAGCAGAGACCCATTGCAGCCCAAACTCAAGGCTTGAGGAGACAACACAGTGGGTGGAAGCAGGAGCGGGCCATCAACAAGCTTGTGCTGGTTGATGGCTGAATATGCGACTGGGATAAGAGTTGAAGTATCTACAACTTGTGCTGCTTCGTCAACATTAATTGTATTAAAAGGAAAGTCTTGAGTAGCTAGGAGTTTTTTTTTTTTTTTGAGCAGATCTTGAAAGTGTAACTATATAGTTGCAGTTTTTTTATATTTTTTTTTTAAGTTGAGCCTTTATGGTAAAAATTCTTTTGATTTTTTTTTTTTTTCTATTTTGGATTTCCTTATTTTCATCAGCCGCAGTTTGGGTAGCTTCCTATACTAATTATTTATCATTCACCAATTTACGAATTTTTGCATGTATCTTTTTAATTTTAAAATTTTAGAATGTTTTGAGACTGCTCAAAATTCAATAAGATTGTAGTGAATTTCCAGGTCAATCTCTTCTTTACAATACAATCGCACAAATTGTGTGGACTTAAGATGAATCCCCTTATCACCGGGGAAGCCATTTTTGATGTGAATAACAAGTTTATCAACAGTAGTGTTTTAAAGTGCGCAGATTAGAATCTTAAAAGATTTAGGCTTCTATAATTGTTATTATTAAGCGGTATACGTTTTTGATTGTCATTAAGAGGTTCCAAAAGAACTCCAATAATGGATATGATTGTTTTAGTTTTTGCCTGTTCCTGAAAGGAAAGGGGAGGGGGGGCTATTATAATAATTAATGGGTTAGATGAGAATTATTTGAATTAATAAAAATGTGGAGTTTTGACTTGTAAATACCCCTGAATTAAGGTAAGGCTGTTTGAAATGGCAGCCTGAATAGCGCGTGCCTGAGACTCGTTAGCGTTGGGGAATCTCTTTAGTTGCCTCCAGCAAATTTTGATTAATAAGTGGGAGGAGGTTAGTTTGGCGGTGACGCAGTCTAAATATCATTTTTCAGGGGAGGGGGAATTCTGTAACTTGGAAAGTGCAGCAAATTCTCTTAATGGGCTGATGAGATTGTTTTTTTTTATTGAATTAGTCAAGTCCTAATGTTGTTTCCGTTTCTTTGTTTGAACTCATTTTGCCAACATAATCATACGAATATTGAAATCATTGATTGCATTTGAGCTTAAACGGAATGCAGTTAAGTACAGTTTTTTTATATATTGGGGAGAGAAAAACAATGTCTACAGTATTGATTGAATTTCTTGTTGGCCTTGACATGCACGATTTGTGCCAAAACAAAGGGAGGGGAGGTGCGGGTCCCACTCTGCTTAATCAAGTCAAGCTGAGCTTTTAATTTTGTTTTCGTTGCGCAATGAGTCCATCATCTTTTGATTGTTGAAATACGAGAGCCCCGCTTGAAACCTGACAAATATTGTATAAAGATGAAGTCTCGCATAATACCCAAAAAAAAAAATAAGAAAAATGTTATTGGAATCGATTTTTTTTTTTTGAGTGTTTTAGCCGAGATATCACGAGAGAATAAAAAATTTCTTAAATTTGTACTAAGCTGGTCTTTGGATTGTATCATTTTTTCAGTTAGGCCATACTGCTTCCTGAAGCTTATGCTAAACCTTGAGGTCAATCATGAACCTAAACATAGAACAGAGTGTTGTGTCGGAATCTAATTGCTGAGGTAACTGTTGTTGGTATTGAGGAAAGGTTTGTCTAGAGACCTGATCAATGGGTCCTGGTAGGAAATGATAAGGTAAAGCGCGGATCCCAGCATAAAAAACAGAGCTGTAAAAGTACTTTGAGATGGCACTACGAGTCAAAGTAATGATTGCAAGAGGGGGAAGAAAAAAGATATCTTAAAAAATGAAAGATTGTTGAATTGAAACATGAGAAAGCATTTTAATATACAATATGTTTAATTTTTTATGAAGAAGGATGTTATATATTCAAAAAAAAAAAAAAATTTTGCTGGTTGAGATTGATGAAATTTTGGTAGTTGAAATTGATAAAAAAAAAATTGTTATACAATTGTATATAATTGAATATTTTCTTTTTTTTTTTACACGTGTGTGTAGTGTAATATTTTCTGGGGGGAAAATGAATTTTTTTTTTTTTTTTTGGTTCCTGAAAGCTTCAGGCACACATTCTCAATAAGCCGTTCTAAACTTGAAACCACATATATTTTAATCTAAATCGTTACTGGGTGCTGCTCCCTTGAGGTAGATTGCGCAATCTTTTCTTTTCTTTCTTTCTTTCTTTCTTGCTTTTTTTTTTTTTTTTTTGGTTTGCTCAAGGTGAGAGAAACCCAAACTTTTCTCTCTTACTCTCAATTGCTCGCTCCCTCGTGCGCAAACATGCACCTTGCCAGCTGTGGAATGTACTAATGTTGGGGATGAGCAGTAGGTTGCTTGCTTGCTTGTAAGAGAAAAGTCTATTATTGTAGAAGAAACCGATGCAGCAATACTATCATGGTTTTTTTTTTTTTTAAATGCAAAAGAAAAGTGATTGAAATTTTTGTATATTTTTTTTTGTTAATCGTGGCTGAGTGGTTTTTTATTTATTTATTTATTATTATTATTATTATTATTATTATTATTATTATTATTATTATTATTATTATTATTATTATTATTATTATTATTATTATTATTATTATTATTATTATTTTATCGACATAAATTTTATATACCAATGTTTGACCCGGTTTTGTGAAAAAAAAAACAAATTGTTTTGGGAAGGAATGTAAACAAACAAACAAAGTGATCAACATATTATATTATTATTACAACTCCAACTACAACTCCAACTTAAGGGTCTGAGAACGCCTTGGATTATATAGTTTCCATGGGAAGGGAGGTAAGGAAGGGGAAAGGGGAAAGAAGATTATAATTATGAGTTCTAGAAAACAGTTTCATGGTTGGATCAATTTATAAATGAAAAGTTTAGGTCCAGGGAAAAAAAAAAAAAATACCTAAATCAGGTACTTATGATGTAAATATTTCAATTTTAAAATATATAGCAAGATTTTTTTTTAAGCGGAAAGGGAAAAAGAGAGGTAGTAAATAGCCGTTATTATAATTTAATCCTAATAATTGTATTTTTTTTTTTTTTTCAAGACAAAAGAAGAATCATGATTCTAAAAAGTTGATCAATTTTTTTTTTTTTTTTAAAAAAAAAGAGAAGAAGTAATTCAAAGGAAAAGTGATTACGTTTAAGACAAGCGAAAAAATAAGTGAAAAATTCAAGTTAGCCAGACGTTGGAAAAAAATTAATAATAATAATAATAATAATAATAATAATAATAGGAAATTTTGTTGCCGTTGATTCAGACAGAAGCCCTAAAAGAAAATAACAGAAAAGGCATTTGATAGTCAGATTTAAATTTAACTTCAACAAGATTTGGATTAAAAATTAACTTTTGGTCCTTGATAAAAAAAAAATAGATTGGCTAACAAGGCTTTTTTTTTCTTCTTCTTCTCACTTACTTACTTACTTACTTACTTACTTACATACTTACTTTTATATATTACGGCACAATTTTTTTTTAAAAAAAAAAAAAGGATTTTGAGAGTTTATTGTAAGCTTAAAAAAGAACATTTGGACCGATTGCAAGTATTAAAAAAAAAATAGCGAGCGAGTCTTTGAAAGAAAAAAAAAAAAAGGGCAAATTAACCGAATAATAAGATAATCAAACTTGGTAATAGCCATCTTAAACTTTGGAATAAATATTATGCTTAAGAATATCGTCATAGCTTATATTTGGTTGTTGTTGTTGTTGTTGTTGTTTTTTTTTATCGATTAATGCCAATTTTATTTTATTTTTTTTTTTATTTTTTTTTTTTTTGGAAAGGTAAACTAACATATCTAGTTTATACTTACCATTTTTAATACTCATATCAATATGTTGATATTCTGAAACATACGGCATCAAGTCATGGCTTGCTGAAAATAGAGAGAGTGAGAGAGTGTGTGTGTGTGTGTGAAAATATTTGAAAGAGAGATCTTAAAATAGGGTGTATAATAACAATGCAAAGTGACATATTTGGGAGTTGGTAGATGTTGCTAAAAGCTACTCGAATTAATGTAGTTTTTGGAATAAGTGCCTTAAAGAATAAAAAAAAAAATTTTATTTTTATTTTTATTTTTTTTTTTTTTGAGGATGCCTTTTTATTAAAGAAGCCGTTTTTTTATTTTTATTTTAGTTAATAAGAGAA